TCTTTAAAGGCTGTTCCAGTGGGTTGAAAAAACTGTCGTTAAATCTACCGTGTGTAGAAACATTTTGAGAATAACGAATTTTGAAAACGTTGATAAAACTTTGTTAATTTATTTTATTTCACTCTATAATTTTACAAGCGAAATACAAATTATTAAAAGTGAAATAAATGAAAAACTTAACTCATTTGCGCCATTAAAATAGCGTACTTGACTTGATTGTTTTGCACGTGCTGTTTGGCGCTACATTGTGACGTCACATAAACAACACTTTAAACGTTTGTACAGCGTTAACGACTGAATTAAAGATATTGGTGTTCGGACTCATTTTCTTAGTTAGACCTTTTCTTTCATTCTAGATAGTTTTCACCACAAAATTCGAAAAAAAAGGTTTTTTATTTATCAGATTTTCAAACAAAATGGCGCAACCAATGTGAAAATACACAGGGAGATAATAAGAACGGCGAGTGCATTGTTGTAGAATAATGCACGCTTCGGGCCTTCTTTGTTTATATAGAAAAATTTTCGATAGTGTTAGAATTAACTTTTCTATCCGGGACATTAGTTGAATAATCTTAACAGGTATCATCCCGAAACACCTGATAACTGTTCGTTGCGCCGCAAATTCTTTTGACGTCGCCATTTTAATTTTCCTATCTTCTATGAGATTTTTTCACTTATCTGTTTCTTGTTTTTTTCTTAAGTTATTCCATTGAAAATTTCTACGATGATGTCAGCATAGCAGAAGCGGAAGTCAATGTGATAATGTGCAGACACATCATCAGATATTTGCAATATACAAAATTTATTTATGCCTATTTATAACAAAATGCAATTTTTTTGACGTGCGCCGAGAACTCAAACCAATGTCGTTAATATTGAACATTTTGTGTAAATAGAGTAAATATTTTGTAAATGATTTTTGTAATGTAAAATAATAATAGGTTCTTATAGGTTGCATGTGTGAATAATTATCTATTAGTGCTCGCCAATTTTTTTAAGCCAATCACCGACGAGGATTTTTCAAATTTTAAGGTTACAAATCTTAATAGAACAGATTTTATATAAACTGGACGTTTTATATTATAAAACGCAAGTGGGCGGAGCACTTAGCCGGTTAGAGTGCATATTGGATGTTCTTCGTAAATAAGAAAGCTACAGTCGCTTCGCAAGCTCCGCTCCTTTTTAGCTTTCTTATTTACGAAGAACACCCAATATGCACTCTAACCTATACCTGGCGTTAAAAATGAACCGTTTATAAGATTTGTCAAGAACTTATGGTACAACCCTCGTATATATTTTTAAAGACTGTTACATGTATAATGATGATAGAACAGCAGTTTATATTGTAAAATGCTCAGGCTAAAATATAAATTTGGCTTTAATATAAAAAATCTCCCCCACTCTTTTTAATAATTTAACATTACAGGGGAATTCCGATGGATATTTACATAAAATTCCTAAGGCCACGCAAACTATTTATCGTCCATGCGAAATAAATCGAAAGAAATTATGACAAAATATAAACTTATTTCGACTTTTACTCATTCACACACTAAAAAACCATTGGATTGGCTTCATGCCACTTTGGTCCAATATATACTCGTAATCAAACGTATACTCGTGTGACACCGGTCTTGGTTAGTTACAGGAAGTTGATTTGAGTGGGTGTACATTCAATATAAAGTTTCCCCAAATCTAGCTTAAATTAAGTTTTAATTTCGTGTCCTTCATCAGCTTCAATCTATAATAAATCCATTATCCAATATCTCTTAGAGGACATGTTATCTATTGCATAAACTGAAGTGCTTTTGTTCAACATAAAATCTTTTACTTTACGATATTGACAGAGGTTTTGTTATTGTTATGATTGTTACCTGATTTATTATAGTTAAGATCGAGATGTTTAGCTTGTCGGCATATTGGTTTGGTATGCTTGACAGGTTTAGTTGTATTCATCCGCGGTTATTATAACTTAGTCATTTTCCAGTTTTCTGTACAATTTGTGTGAGCACACAATTATGCGTGTTTTTTGTTTAGCTACATTGCATATGATATTTTTTAATATGTATGTTTATGCCGCCGAGGGTTGTTTCCATTTTCTATGAAATTATAGCGAATCTGATTAATGTAGGCCCTTTTTGTAACTTTGGCATATGACATTTTTAGTTACTCTGTACTGTTAGTTCTTAGTGCAATTTGACACCCGGTGTTTTTGGGTGTTTACAAATTGACAAAAAGAGGGGAAAACTGTTCTTGCTGGTAGAGTGTAAACACACCGTTTCACCAGTTCCAGTGTTGACAAATTGCTGCAGTGATGATAGACATCTAAACTTTATTGATTACCACAGGAAGTTTATAAATTTGTTTTGTTCCCGTCCGACGTTTCTTATTTCTTAATTAAGTACAGTAAGGATGAACACATATGATTTTAGACTTGATTACAAATACATGTGGGCAGTACATCCATGAGCATACATACGCACACACAGACAGACCAACCTAAACATTGTAACAAAAACATAACAGACTTAGCCCAGAACATTGAATATGGTTTTATTTATAAATCTCTACACAACTTTGACATATTTTGTACTACTTGACTGAACAACTTTTAACCAGTATTTTATAACGTTAACAGCACTCATTGTTCTACCAGTTCACAAAAGATTAAAGTATTTTTGTTTGTCTTTTACCTCATAACAACTTCTTACAATACTTTAAATGTATATTTTCTTACACCGGACTATCCCCAGTTTCGGGATTGGTAAAATAACTTATAAATAAATAAAACAGATCTAGTTTATGTTTATCTGACATACAAGGAAATCGTATTGGCTCGTTTTCAAATTAATACAATGAGTTTCGAAAGACATTAAAACATGCGCCAAAATAATTTTTTTGTCTAGATATGTAAACTTTTTAACTGTTTCAAGTCATTAGGCTTTATAAGAAAACATCAAATTGTGTCTAAGTCTATCCGTCTTTTTAAAGATCAAATCATTTGACTTTGTACAGTTAACTTTCACAGTATATTAGTACATGTATATTCAAAAAATGTCAATCCTTTTTGGTAGCCCTCCTCTGTTTTAGATGTGGTCACTATATTTTAGGCATATACCAAAATATCTTTAGAACAATATGTACTTCGCAAGTATTTAGATTTTAAAAAAGAACTGTCCAAAATAACAAAAAACTGCCCCATTCATTGATATTTGAAGGGTACTTGAAAGTAAAACTTCAAACAGCAAACGAAAATGCAGTTTTCAATTTCATCCACTGCCTGAACTACCTATTTAAATAGCATAGATTTTAAATGAGACAAGCCGTTTTACTTTTGGACCTCAAGTGTCACAGGGTGAGAAAATGTGTAGCCTGACCGGGACCCGAACCCAGTTCTCTCGGAATACCGTACCGCGGTTCTACTGACTTACCTATCCGGCCGGTCACATACTATCTCCCCTAATTAGTAAACAGTTCTGAACCATGACACAAGTAAAAAATGGCGAATGTATGTATGATCAGGACAAGCGCTTCTTATACTTCTAGAATTCTTTCTTCAGTCTGTCTCATTGTGTGTTGATGATCTCTCAGAAAGTGTGTCTTATTATTTATCTCCTGTTTCAAACACTGAATTATTGTTTTCAAGTTATGAATGTGTACCACGTTGCGCCCCAGTCAGTGCCAGTGACAGGCATATGGTCAACATCCTGACTGACTAAAATTCAGATCTACCTAGTTCTGTTATGTAGATCTGATTCCGTCCGTATATGTTTCGCCTCCTTTAACTAACTGTTTTTCTTAAGCTAATACTAATTGTTTGCTAGGTTTAATCATCATGTGTACATGATTGTAGTGTTCGGTGCAGTATGACGTACCGAAACAAATAAAATAACAGGTAATTTTTATTCAAGATTTTAAGAATCAGTATAAACCACAGGTGCTATAAGATTAAACTTGAGCACCAAGAGGTATAATAACCTCTTTAGAAGTATCTGCCCTTTCCGCCAGTATAATAGTCGAGGTCTCTCGATTGTTCAAAATGAGCGGTAACACGATAACTTCATTTTATCTATACAAGTAGACATTCCAGTGGTTAAGACATGTTTTGACATATAAGATATATTAGATGTATATAGGAATCTAAATTAGATCTATTTTGTGTATTAACAATATCCAAGTGAACAGGATAAATCACAGGTATGTTATTATTATATACTTATAAATGAAATATTGAGAAATAGTAATGAAATGATATGCGTTTACTCATTTCCCGTACTTTCACTGTTAAAATTTATTTTTCACTGCAGTGATACATATTTTCCATAATTTTACTGGTGTAAAGAAATAAAACTGTATAATTATACTGAACAGAAAATTTAAGTATTTTTTTTCATCTTGTGGTGTGAAGATGAAAATTATCATATTTCACTCATGGCAAACCGTCACTCAAGATATATTCATTTTCATAAAACTCAATGAAATAAATCATGTTTTTATAGAAAAAACTTAAATGTCCTCTATTTATTCAATATCTATGTTTCAATATTCTGTAAGCTTTATCAAGACAGTTTTATTTTTTAAAAATCTAACTTTGACCTACAACCCGAATAACCTTGAGATCATCATTTACTGTACCCCTCTCATATCTCTGTGTCAGTTCCGATGATTCAATTTTTAGTTTGTTTGGCCTTTGAAGTCAAAGACTTATATCTTTCTATTTCTGACGCCCCCCCCCCCCCCTCATGATTATGTATAGGTCAGCATTAATGAACTTAAATCTTCCAAAAGCGACACAGCTATCCGGTCTAATTAGCGTATCATACTCACACGGTGTAAAAGCTCAAAATAGCAGGGAGGGGATTATAGGAATGACCTCCGTCTGTCTGTCCGAAACAATTTCGTGTCCGCTCGATAACTTTTAAAGCGCTGATTTTTTTTGGCATATAACTTGGCACAAGTGATTAGCATAATAAGACGATGTGCAGGTCGCAATAATTGGATTGCTACCCCCAAGGTTAGGGTCACACTTTAAGGTCGATAGTAAAGTCTACATTTCGTGTCCGCTCCATAGCTTTTAAACAGCTGAAAAGTTTTTTAAAATAACTTGGCACAAGTGAACAGCATTATGAGACGATGTGCAAGCACAATAATTGGATTGCTACCCCAAAGTTCAAGGTCACACTTAAAGGTCAAGTGTAAAGAGTCTACATTTCCGGTCCGCTCCATAACTTTTAAACCATGAAAAGTTTTTAATTAGTTTGTCACAAGTGATCATTATTATGAGACAATGTGAGGATCGGAATAATTGGGTTGCTACCCCAAAGGTCAAGGTCACATTTTAAGGTCAAATGTTCTACATTAGTGTTCGCTCCATAACATTTCAACTGCTGATTTTTTTTAAATAACTTGGCATACCTGATTACCATTAAGAGACGATGTGCAGAGCGCAATAATTAGGTTGCTACCCCAAAGGTCAAGGACACACTTTAAGGTCGAATGTAAAAAAGTCTATATTTCGTGTCTGCACCATAATTTTCAAACCTCTGAAATCTTTTTGTAATAACTTTGCACAGGTGATCATCATTATGGGGCGATGTGCAGAGCACAATGACTGGGTTGCTAACCCCAGGTCAAGGTTACACTTAGGCTCTTAGGCAAGTGTTAAAAAGTTTACATTTCGTGTCCCTCCATAACTTTTAAACCGCTGAACAGTTTTTTAAAAAATATATTTGCAAAAGTGTTCACCATAATGAGATGATGTGCAGAGCGCAATAATTGGATTGCTACCCCAAAAGTCAAGGACACACTTAAAGGTCAAGTGTAAAAAGTCTACTTTTCGTGTCCACTCCATAACCTCTAAACGGCTGAATTTTTTTTAATAACTTGGCGCAAGTAATCAACATTATCAGACGATCTGTAGAGCGCAATAATGGGATTGCTACCCTCAAGGTCGGGGTCACACTCAAATGTCCAATGTAAAAACAACTATTTTTCATGTCTGCTCTATAAGTTTTTGTAAATTCAAAGGTTTTAAAATAACTTGCCACAAGTGATCCCCACAATCACACAATCTGTAGAGCACAACATCCAGGTTGCTCCCCCCAAGGTCAATGTTATATGTTCACTTTATGGAAGATTTTAAATAACTGCACAAATAATCAACATTGTCAGACCATGTGCTTATGACATGTATGGAACAACATCAAGATCATGATAAGTACACATTCATGTTCACTGGGGATGGGGATTTAGCTGTTTATTAGACTGCCTTGTTAAAACTTATTTCCCGTATTGTTTGAGATCTTTGTTATGAAATTAAAATGATCAAATTTCACCCGGTGCAGTCCAAACAAACTGAAAATTATTTAAATGTAAATCATGTTTGAAAGTAAGGATTTGCTATCTTCTGATAAGGATTTAATAAAAAAGGGCAATACAGCAATACATTTAAAGAAGTACGGAGCGCCTAATGTGACATTTTCAACACTTTTTACCCGAAACTTGATTCGTTTTTACGAAATAATAATTCGTAATTACGTAATAATTCAGAAATACGAAATTTTTAATTCATTTTTCGAAATATTAATTCGTAATTACGAAATATCAATTCGTTTTTACGAAATATTTAAGAAATAATATATCCCAAACAGTGATTTTATCGCTCAATAACACCACTGTTTGGAGTTCGGATGCGAGGAAGTATAACACGAGGGCGTAGCCCGAGTGATATAATGATGCGCATCCGAACGACAAACAGTGATGTTATCAAGCGATAAAATCACTGATTCGGATATATTATTTCGATTCTAACACGACAAAAACAATAAATGTTGCCGTACCTGATAATAAGCTAAATTGCACCTGATTTGTTTCCGTTCTTATTTTCAGTGCGTCGCATTTTTAGTGGTTACGTCACACGTATATAATGATAACGTCATAAGTCTAAATATAGAACGTCAACAGTGACTTTGTTGCATAATAATACACACTTTCAGAGTTGAATAACAGATGTCCTGCTGAAGGTAGACGTCATCAGCCGAGTTACCATCCGTCTGCAGGTGTTTCGCTCCATTTACACTCGAGACACCCTCGGGATGGCGGAGCAGGTAGGGTTGATCAGGCCCTACCCCGTCTACCTTGGTTGCCATTCATGTTTGCTATGGAGCATCCATAGCCAACTGGACGCTCTTTCGGCTGTTCTCCCCAGAGCATTGACTGTGCGCTTTCGTGCCGCTCCTTTGATGCCCAATGCTCCGAGCATCCTCCACACTGATTGTAATGAGAAGCCACGACATCCGACCTCAATCGGGAAGACCAGAGTGTTCCAGCCGTTGGACTTGCAGGATTGGGCCAAGTCTTCGTACTTGGACCTCTTGAGCTCGTGGGATTCTTCAATGCGTTCCTCCCATGGGACTGTCAGCTCAACCAGCACCACTCGTTTAGGATTCCTGGACCATGTCACAATGTCTGGCCGGAGGGTAGTCTGGGCGATCTCCTGGGGGAACTGTAGTTGTTCCTTTAGGTCAGCCTTCATTTCCCATGACCTGGATTCATTCAGGATTCCGGTCGATGCTGGGGCTGACTTGGGTACTTGTTCTCCCTCCTTCAGGAACCCGGTGTAGTGGTTCTGGTTTGGCCTCGGTCTCTCTTTCTTCCTTTCGGTCTCAAGGACGTGGGCTACCTCAGACAGGACCTGGTCATGACGCCATCTGTAGCGCCCCTGAGATAGGGGGGGGGGGCATGATGAGAGTACATGTTTGAGTGATCCTGGTGAACCACACAATGGACATGCCGGGTCGTCAATCAGCTTCCACTGGTACAGGTTGGTAGGAGATGGGAGCATGTCGTAGATAGAACGAAGCAAGAAACTCAGTCTGAGTGGCTCGTACTGCCAGATCTCTTGCCAGGATAATTTCCTTTCTGGAACCTGCCATCTTGTCCAGTTTCCCTGTGGTCCTAGCTGGACTGCCCTTGACATTCTTTCCTGCTCTGCTTCTTCCCTGATCTCGGTCTGTACTAGGGATCTTCTTTCCTGCTGTGTTGAAGTCTCCCATCTTTGGTGCTTCCTGGTGCCTAGTCCTTCTTTTCCTATGTTTGTCATACCCACAATGTCTTTGTGCTTGAGACCGCTCTCTGCAAGCTCCACCGCACGACTCACTGACCACTTTCGCCCAGTCCTAACCTCGATGCAAGCGCCGCTGATCTTCTCATCTTTGGAATCTCTCAGCGTTAGCAGAAGTCTGGTCTTAGCAACTTTGAATTCCTCTACAATAGAGTTGATGGGCATCTGTAGCTTTGCTGTCTTGCTGTAGAGACCTATGTTGGTGAAGGATGGAGGCAGGCCTAACCATCTTCTTAGGTGCTTGCTGACAGTCCGCTCCAGCTTCTCTACTGTACTGGTTGGAATATCGTTAACCATCATTGGCCAAACGAGTCTGGGTAGTAGATTGTGTTGGTACACCCAAGCCTTGAATTTCCCCGGAAGATCGCACTTGTCTATTCTTCTCAACCCCTCCTCCGCCTGTTGTTGAAGACGGGCTTGACTGCTCTTGTCTGATAGTGAGGCGTCGAACCACTTTCCCAAGCACTTGACTGGATTGTTGGACTGGGATGGGATGTCCTCTCCCTGTATGGTCATCTTGAATCTTTCGTGACCTTTCCTTTCTTAATCACCAGGCTTCGTGACTTGGCTGGCTTGAACTGCATTCGGGCCCATGTCGCTGTTTCCTCTAGTGCTGTGAGTACCCATCGTGCTTGGATGTGAGTTTCCGTCGTGACGGTCATGTCGTTCATAAACCCACGTTGGATGGTAGGCGGATACCAGAGTTGGTCTTTGGGCCTCGTGTTTCCACCTCTGCTGCCTTGATGATGATGTTCATGCCCATCACAAACAGTATAACAGAGATGGTACATCCAGTCACAATGCCTTTCTGTAGCTCAATCCAGTCTGTTGTGAACTGTTCACAAGAGAACCTTAGGTGAATGTTACTGAAGTAACTCTGGATGAGTTTTGTGGCATGATCCGGGATGTGGTAGTGGTGCAGAGCTTCCAAGATCAGTTGGTGTGGGATCGATCCATAGGCGTTCGTAAGATCTAACCAAATGACACTGAGATCTTTGTGGTTGATCCTGGCCTCGTGAAGCAGCTGCGTTAGAGCGCTGGTGTGCTCCACGCACCCCGAGAAACCGGGTATTCCTCCCTTTTGGACTGAGGTGTTGATGTACTGGTTGCTTAACATGTACGAGGTCATGCGGTTGGCCAGTATTGAGAAGAATATCTTGCCCTCAACATTTAGAAGTGATATGGTCCTGAACTGCTTTACTGTCTTAGAGTCTTTCTCCTTGGGCACAAAGCAACCTTCGGCTTGTTTCCAGCAGTCTGGAACTGTTCCCTTCCTCCAAACCACTTTCAACAGTTGCCAGAGACGTCTCAGAAGCTTGGGGCACTTCTTATAAACTTTGTAGGAAATGCCACTCGGTCCAGGAGCTGAACATGACCGGGCCTTCATAACAACACTTGTTACTTCTTTAAATGTTGGTTCCTTCAGATCTAGTGGAATTGATGGTTCTTCAACAGGAAGAATTCTGTCACAGTTGCCTAGCGGGTCGTGCCTCTAGGGGTCTGAGTGTACATCCCGTAGGTGCTGCTCCACTTCGGTCTTACTACTCTCCATCTTTCCTGATCTTTCCCCTCCTAGTAGGTCCCTAGAAAATCTGTAAGGATTTGCTATGAAGGCGGCTCTCTTCTTTGCTTTGGTCTTCCTCTTTTTGGCCACTCTCTCTGCCGTAGTGAGGGTCTTCAGGCGTGACCTCAGCTGTCCTCTCAACTGGGCGAGACCTTCTCTCTCAGTCTGGTTGGCACCCTTGAAACGCTTACGTAAGGTACGGAGTTCTGTCCGGAGCCTCTTGATCTCACACTGCCTTCTGTTTGGGCGCGGTTGAGACTTCTTTGACTCTCCTTTCTTCACTTCTCCGAACCTCTCTCTTCCAAGGGTGTAGGCTATGGAAGGCAACGCTTGTAGTTTCCTTTCCACAGAACCTGACAATGTTGACTGAAGGATCAGGTCCAAGTCATCGTCAAACGTCTTCCAGCTACTGTCGTTGGTATTGGGCCATTCGATCTTCGGTTTTCTGTCGCTTGATGTCGGTTGTCGTGATCATGAGTCTGATTCAGCTTGCCCTTGGTCTGGTACTTCCTGTGTTTCATGGAGTGGAGTTGTACTCTGTCTACTGTGTGCAAAGATTGGAGAACTACCTCCTGTGGTCACCCTTGGTCGATCTGTTCGAAATATTGGGGACTCTTCTCCATCTCCAGTGGGGGAAATTAGCTCCTCAGACGGCTTTGTTTGGTCTGTGGGATTTGCTGTACCGTACTTGATGTCATCTGCAGTTAAGGAATGCACGGGAGCTGAGAGACAAGTAGCACTGTGGTTCGGCACCTGACTAGATATCTCCCCCGTCTCACCAGGGTTAACTGTGCGTTGTTCCTGTGTATTCCGTAGCTGACAGCCACTTCGAGTCTGGTGGATTTTCATCCCCCTCCTGTTCTTGCACATCTTGCCACAGGGGCACATGATGGCTGTGCTGTTATCAGTCTCACTCATAGTCCGTTTGTGTTCCGTGTTCGTCACCGTGAAATCAGTCCTATTAGGTCTTTCATCCTCCCCCCTCTCGGAAGACCCTGGGGGTATTCTTCGTTCGGTTGTGTTGTAGCAGTTTTGGCGGGTGTCTTCTCGCGAAGACTGCACAGCGGGGAGCCGACCCACTGTACACCGTGAATCCAGTCTTTCCTAGAAATCGCCTGTCTCTCCAGGGTCACTGTTCTATTCTCAGTTGTCATCCAGACTTTCCTGGAAGTCACTGGTAAACCAGAAAAACAGAGTTGAATAACAGATGTCCTGCTGAAGGTTGACGTCATCAGCCGAGTTACCATCCATCTGCAGATGTTTCGCTCCATTTACACTCGGGACACCCTCGGGATGGCGGAGCAGGTAGGGTTGATCTATGTTCTTCTATGTTCAATAGGGAAAAATGCGGGTCGTGTTAGAATAATTCGTAATAACGAAATATTAATTCGTTTTTACGAAATATCAATTCGTTATTACGAAAAAGTAATTCATATTTACGAAATATTAGTTCGTACTAACGAATTATTATTTCGTCTTTACGTAAAATTAATTCATTTTTACGAAATGTCATTTCGTGATTACAAAATAAAAATTCGTAAATACGAAATAATATTTCGTAAAAACGAATTAAATTTTTTCTAGGGTTTCAAAAAGTTTTGGTAATATTTATAAAGAAGGCCTCGAAACTATGTTCCTGACTTAATATAAGGCATGTAAATGCAATATAAATAGTGTTTTTCCTCCCCAAGTTTTATAACTTAACACTACTGTACATATAGAGGACATTTGTTTAGGTCAGTGTAAGATCGGAATTTATCACACACCCGTGCCGATTTTGCGACTCCGTAAATATGGTATTGCACGGCCGTGCATATATTTTGACGTGACGTCATTAGCGTTATACAAACATAGTGTAAAGCCGCGCTAAATGTTAGCGTTATACTATGGTGGCTGATTTGTGCCATTCGTGTTTTCGCCCCGCGCCCCCGCCATTTAAATTTGTTAATTCTCGACTTTTCGCTTGGCGGGGTCGCGGTACGAAAACACGCTAATTAGCGGGGGCGCGGGGCGAAGTTTTATTTCATTAAACGTCGCCCCGCGCCCCCGCCGTTTTATTTCTTAATTCTCGCTCCGCACCCTCGCGGGGCTAAGTTTTATTTGTTAAACTTCGCCGCGCACCCCCGCTAATTAGCGTGTTTCGCTCCGCGACCCCGCCATTTTAACTTGTAAATTCTCGATTGTTCGCTTGGCGGGGTCGCGGGACGAAAACACAAATGGCACAAATCAGCCACCATATTATACTGTAGGCGCATCAATGAAAAATGACTCTTATTTCACTTTAAACGGTCTTTATTAGACTTGATTAGTCTTTATAAGAGCCAGAGGCTCGCATGATATAATTTTATTCAACTCGTGCAATAAATTCAGTATTGAACACTCATTTAATATCCTCTATTTATTTTATGCTTTTCAGTGGATTACTGATTTATCCGTGAAAATTATATTTGGTAATTTCACAGTGAAAATTATCAAAATATAATTTCACTTTTTTCAATGACGAAACTACTTTTTTAAGATTTTCCCCATGTGGTACCTCAATTTTATTTTTGCTGACAATTCTGACAATGTCAGGCTGTTTAAAGAAAAAGCAAAGCTGAAATTGATAAATACCTTAAACGTCAAAAGTAATAAAAAGAAGAAAACTTACTTCTATTCATTCAAATTCCAATCAGCAAATTTCGTCTCTAAATTTTTTGTTTCATTTTTACAGTCTGAAAAATACATTCCTTCCACATGCAAACTGCTCTTGATGACATTTTGGCATATTAAAAGTATCCTACGAGTAATAACTGCCGTATGCTTTATGAAAAATTGAAAAAGCAATGACAGCTACAGCTCGTAGAACAAGTAAACCACCCAGCATTCCGAGCAAGTTCCAAGTCTTCCATTTTCATAGCTGCTTTTTTCATGTTTTCACATCTGTCAACACTTATTTTTTGTCTGTTTCAATCCTCAAATATGTTTTCTTTCTTTTAAAAAGGTGTATGACTAACAATTCCAAATGATATCCCTCTGAATCTAACACAATTATTTTCCTCCCGTGAAATACACAACTTTAAAAAATGGCTGCCGCTTACATTTGACAAAGCCAGGTCTAATATAAATTCGCAGTAAGTAACAGAAATATGGATGGATGGTTGGAATTTTCTCCTACACGAATTGTTTGTTTTTATTACTAAAACAAGCGATCATTCATATTTTTTAAACAAAATAAATAATATCACTGTCATTTAATGTTGATTGTCGGACTTATTTTTCAGCTCAAGACTTCTTGTTTTTAATGAGAAATTCGCACGAAATGAGGCTCTCAATGGGGAAACAGATTTTAATATTTATGTTAATATTATGGAAATTTCGTTTAAACTTGTTTTTTAGCATAAAATAAAAAGAAAATTTGTTTGTTTTTTGTGTAAGATGTAATTTTATTTCATCGAGTGGGCTTTTAAAACAGTATTCTCACGAGTGGCGTAGTAGCCACTCGTGAGAATACTGTTTTTAAAGCCCACTCGATGAAATAAAATTTCATCTTACACACAAACAAACAAATATCCTCTATATATTTCACAGAGTGAACACCAAAAGGTATATTTCACGAGTGGCGCAGCCACGAGTGGAATGTGAACTTTTGGTGTTCACAAAGTGAAATTTATTTTGATCTTAGACTAAACTAAACAAATTTTTTGTCATTATACGCATAGAAACGTTTTAGAAAGACAATAATTAAACCTAATACTGAATGAAAAGCGCGCCAAATAATAATACAACGTGACGTTCTTTTTACGTCACGTCATAAAGTTGGTTCCCAGTACTGTGCATGCTGGTATTTCACTGAAACAACCAAATGGCTTAAATTCAAAACAGTGAAATTATCAAATTTATAAGTTCACTGTTTAAAACAGTGAAATTATCAGTTTTATATCACTGATATATTTCTATAAACCACCGAAAAGCATGTAATAAATTAAATTAATCGCCTTTAAATAGCTCTGCCGCCACAGCCGTGTTAGTACACGCGCTAAGAATATTTTGTTAAAGCTTCAAATCCAAACACGGACATTTTTTCTTGTTCGTTTTGTCGATATTATTGAGTTTTGAAATAAAATATTATCTTTTTATGATGGCACGGTGCTCATACATAAATTATAAGGGAATATACTTTTTTAAATTGATTAGATTAGTGAAAATCTGGAGCTCCCCTTTTTAGTTTTACTAATGCATATGATCACAGAAAGTAATAATATAAGCATGTTCCTTTTTTGAAAACACATGTCAGAAAAGATTAATTGTCTCAACTATTAAAACATTGCTGATAGGAACATGTCTTTGACAATGGGGAACAAGAGCACCGATAGGCGGAGCATTATATGCCCAAAAGTGTTTTTTTTGGTAAGGATGAAGCATTTGTAAGACATTACATAAATTAAATAAAGTATTACCTCCTTCAAATAGCTATCCTCCTATAAAGTTTGAATATTGTAATAGAATTAAGTTATTTTCTGGCAACTGTTTTCAGTTTTAAAGTAATAACGACCTTGACCTTTGACCCCAAAATCATAAGTGTTGATGTACCCAATGTTGACAATCATCCTATGAAGTTTGAATATCATGGACTAAATAGACCTTAAGTTATGCTCCGGAAACTGCTTTCAGTTTAAAAGTAATAGTGGCTTTGACCTTTGACCTTGTGACCCCAAAATCAATAGGGGTCTTCTACCCAATATGGACAAACATCCTATGAAGTTAGAATATTGTGGGCAACATGGAACTTAAGTTATGCTCTGTAAACTGTTTTCAGTTTTAAGGTAATAGTTACCTTGACCTTTGACCTTGTGACCCAATATCAATAGGGGTCTTCCACCCAATATGGACAATCATCCTATGAAGTTTGAATATTGTGGGCCAAATGGAACTTAAATTATGCTCCGGAAACTGTTTTAAGTTTAAACGTGATACTGACCTTGACCTTTGACCTTGTGGCCCCAAAATTAAAAGGGGTCTTCTAACCAATATGGACAATCATCCTATGAAGTTTGAACACTGTGGGAAATTAAGTTATGCTCTGGAAACTGCTTACAATTTTAAGGTAAAAGTGACCTTGACCTTTGACCTTGTAGCCCCAAAATCAATAGGGGTCTTCTACCCAATTTGGACGATCATCCTATGAAGTTTGAATATTTTTGGCCGAATGGAACTTAAATTATGCTCCGGAAACTGTTTTCAGTTTTAGAGTAATGACATTGACCTTGTGATCCTAAAATCAAAAGGGGTCTTCTACCCAATATGGACAATCATCCTATGAAGTTTGAACACTATGGGCCAGATGGAACTTAAGTTATGCTCCGGAAACTGTTTTAAGTTTTAAGGTGATAGTGACCTTGACCTTTTACCTTGTGACCCCAAAATCAATAGGGGTCTTCTATCAAATATCGACAATCAACCTATGAAGTTTGAATATTGTGGGCCAAATGGAACTTAAGTTATGCTCCGGAAAACAAATTGCTAACGGACGGACAGACGGACGGACAGACAGACAGCGGACGGACGCCAGGGGATATTTTTTCGGGCATATAAAAAGAGGATATTTTGGATAGAGAATGACTTCTCTCTTCACTTAAATATATCAACTTGAGAACTATTCGACTTATAATCGCAGAGTAAATGACCCTTTTGTGAGATTAGTAGGTTTTTTTTTGTCAAAATCACAATGGCCTTAAATAAGATTTTGTTGAAACGAATTAATATTTCGTAACAAGAGCTGTCGGTAGGACAGCAACGCTCGACTATTCTTAGTGCTTGATAGTAAAAAATGCTTGATAGAGTTACCTCCTCCTGTTTACAGGTTGGGATCATGATGGTGAACAAGTGTGCAAAGTTTCAAAGCCATATGTCAATGGACTTTGAAAATATTTGAACTATTACAAAAACTTTAACGTAAATTCAAGTCGAAAAAGGGGCATAATACTGTCAAAATGCTTGATAGAGTTACCTCCTCCTGTTTCCAGGTTGGGGTCATGATGGTGAACAAGTGTGCAAAGTTTCAAAGCCATATGTCAATGGACTTTGAAAATATTTGAACTATTACAAAAACTTTAACGTAAATTCTAAGTCGAAAAAGGGGCATAATTCTGTCAAAATGCTTGATAGAGTTACCTCCTCCTGTTTACAGGTTGGGGTCATGATGTTGAACAAGTGTGCAAAGTTTCAAAGCCATATGTCAATGGACTTTGAAAATATCTGAACTATTACAAAAACTTTAACATAAGTGGTTACGCCGACGCCGACGCTCGGATGACTGCAATAGCTCTACTTATTCTTATCGAATAGTCGAGCTAAAAACGAATTAATATTTCGTAAAAACGAATTAATATTTCGTAATTACAAATTAATATTTCGTAAAAACGATTTTAATGCCGGGAAAAAATTTCGAAAATGTCACCTTAAAGGCTCCGTAGCTTCAAATCCAAACACGGACAATTTTTTTTTTTTTTTTTTGTCGATATTATTGAGTTTTGAAATAAAATATTATGTTTTTATGATCGCACGGTGCCTATACCTAAATTGTAAAGAAATATACTTTTTGAAATTGATTAGATTAGTGAAAATCTGGAGCTCCCCCTCCCCACTCCTTTAGTTTTTCTAATGTATATGTTAAAGGAAAGTAATAATATAGCATGTTTCTTTTTAAAGCAGCATGCCTCCAGATGAGCCGAAATATTTCAAGAGAATTTAATTTGAGAAAAATGTGCTAACATTTTAAGAAAAGAAAAATGTTTCAAGATTCAAGTAATGATTTACATGTTATATGCAATTAAGGGATGATTTTGCGTTATTTATCACCATTTTCTACTGTGTTACTAACGCAGTCGGGCTAATTTTGCTTAGTTTGACCTCTTTTTGGTAATTTATGTGGATTGCAAGAGCTGTTTGCAATGTGAAAATTACTTTCTTTGTTCATATCACAATATTTTACTTTTAAATACATTAAAAAAAATCATTAAAATTAGCATGAATCATGATGCATGCTGCTTTAAAGAAACATAATTTATCAGAAAAGATTTATTGCCACAAAAAATAATACATTGCTGATAGGAACATGTATTTGACAATGGGGAAAAAGAGGATTGTTTTTGTATAGAGAATGACTTCTCACTCAAAAACCCTGTTCACTTAAATATAATATCTTGAAAACTATTCGGCTTATAATCGCAAGGTTTATCCAGGCTTGTAATTGACCTCTTTGTGAGATTAGTAGGTTCTTTGTCAAGCTCACAATGACCTTAAATAAAATTTCGTTAAAACGAATTAATATTTCATGATTACGAATTAATATTTCGTAAAAACGAATTATTATTTTGTAAAAACGTCGTAAAAACGAATTAATATTTCGTAATATCGAATTAATATATAAATATTTCGTAAAAACGAGTTAACATTTCGTAAAAACGAATTATTTCGTAAAAAACAAAATAATATTTCGTAAAAACCGAATTAATATTTCGTAAAAACGAATTATTATTTCGTAAAAACAAACTATTATTTCGTAAAAACAAATTAATATTCCTTAAAACAAATTAATATTTCGTAATTACAAATTAATATTTCGTAAAAACGAATTAAATGCCGGGGAAAAAAAGTGTCGAAAATGTCACCTTAGGGGCTCCGTAGAGAAGAAGCATTCAAGACAAATAGTTATAGAATCAGTAAAAAAGTGTAGATGAGTAACAAAATATCCACTGTTTGATGTTAATAACTTTCTTGTGTTTGTCTATTCTAGATATCCTTATGGCTGTCCCGGGTAAAAAGGCATCTCGGAAATCTTCATCCATACTATCTCAAGGCTGTGCTGAAGATTTCGACATTTTCTGTGAAATATGTGATAGATATGATATCAGGATTCCTGCCTTTGGTCACTGTGTAGATTGTGAGGCACACCTTTGCCGTACCTGCTCTAATAATCATTTGCAACTCAAACCATCCCACCATCACCAACTTCTAGACAACGAACACATGCCACAAAAGCAAACCATGCATAAATCATCAAAGTCTGCTCCCAGGACACTGACCGATGGTCTTACAAAGCCTTGTACTAAACACAGCAAGGAAGTGATCAAATTTTACTGCCATGACCATAATGCTCTTATATGTAATGTTTGTGTGACCCTTGAACACACACCAACGTCCTGTCGTGTGGACTACATACCAGAAATATCAGGGCAGATTTTAGACAGCACCGAGTTCAATGAAACTCTGAGAGGTATTAACACATTGACAGACAAATGCTTCCTGATAACTGAAGATCTGCATCAAAGATGTGAGGAATCAACGACTTCACTATTATATGCTTTCGAAGAAATAGTAGAATTCAGAAAAGAGAGAAAAGATAGATTACGCGAATTAGAAAAGAATGTTTTTGATGCTGCAAAAAAAATCCAATCCGACAACAATGAAAAGTTGAAAACAACAGAAACAACATGTGGCGACATCAACAAATCACTCCAAGCATCAGCTGATTCTCTTAAACATCTCAATTCACACAAGAAAACTGACCAACTGTTTGTTGAACTTAAGATAGCCCAGCAACTGATTAAAACTAGCGAGAAAAGAACATCAGAACTACCAACAGTTGACGAATACATCTTTGAACGAAATAAAGCTATTGAAAATGTCCTTCAAGACGAGAAATCAATAGGAATATTGAGCAATATGAAACTGGAGCAGCCAGCCCAACCAAAGAATCAAGTTGCAGTCGCAATCAAAATGTCTACTCCTAGAAATATCAATGCTAAAACATCCTTAGATAAAAGTAATTGCTACATAACTGGTTTGACTGTTTCTTCTTCAAACAAAATATTTGCAGCGGATAGGAAAAATAAGTCAATTAAAATGATAAACATTAGAAGTGGGGATATCAAACAAGTACAGCTTGACTCGGCACCCTTTGATGTCACCCTAGTCACAAGCGATTCACTTTGCTGTTACATTACCCACAGGTTTTTAAAACCCAAACCCCGTTCATTTCATTCTCCCCGACTCATTTACGAAGAACAACTAAAGGTAAGAAAAATTTTATGGTATCATCATTATAATAAAAACTTCGTCACTTTTTTATTTCCGGGAAAGCTCCAAAATCACGACTTAAAAATAATTACTGTAATTTCATTTAATGGGATTCAAGGGGGACAGTTTTTTCATTTTCCCGGGTTTTCACTACAAACTAATTCAATCTTGGTCTACATCACAAGGCTGGGGTTATGGGGTTTAACTGGCGGGGAATTATTAAAACCAAAGCAGATTCATTTTTTAAAAAGGGTATTACACTGTTAAATGATGGATCCTTATTACTCATTTCTAAGAAATCAATAATAGCAAGCCATGACTGTAAATTCATGAAAACTATACTTGAGGATTTAGATGATCCTTTTGCTGTATGTTGGTGTGCTGTAACCCGTACACTTTGTGTTAGTAGATTCACCGTACTTGAAGAGGGGAACAATAATATAAAAATATATAATGATGTAAAACTACGAGATGGCAATTGATCGATGCAGTCATGGCAAGACATACATGTAACTTTATATACCATTATCTAACATTTGCAATGGAATCGTGGTTCAAAGTAATGCTAATGAAAAGTAGACGTCGCATATTTGTTTTCCGGCTTCTCTAAGAAGGAAACTGACGGTCTTTCATGCTAGACCTTAATTAACAGAGCTGTTCAGCAGAAGGGTTACTTCTAAAACAGACAACTGCTGTATCATAACCTTCTCTAAAAGTTCAAAAAAAGAAACAAGAGGGCCATGGTGGCCCTGAGGTCGCTCACCTGTATATAGGCCTCCCCCTGGCAGGGCCAATTTTAACCCAAGGGCTTTTATTTGAACAAACTTGGTAGACATCCATAAGAAGATGTTTCATGCTTAACATCTAAGCTCTAGCTCATTGGTTTTTTTCAAAGAAGATTTTTTAAGTTTTTACTATACACATATAGTTAAAAAAATGACACCCCTGGGGCGGGCCAGTTTTGACCCCAGGGCTTTTATTTGAACAAACTTTGTAGACACTTACTAGAAGATGTTTCATGCTTAATATCTAAACTCTAGCTATTCAGTTTTTTTCACAGAAGAGTTTTAAGTTTTTGCAATACACATATAAGGAAAATCAATGACCCCCGGGGCGGGGCCAATTTTGACCCCAGGGCTTTTATTTGAACAAACTTTGTAAACACTCACTAGAAGATGTTTCATGCTTAACATCTAAACTCTAGCTATTTGGGTTTTTTCAAAGAAGATTTTCAAAGTTTTTGCTATACACATGTAAGGAAAATCAATGACCCCCGGGGTAGGGCCAATTTTGACCCCAGGGCTTTTATTTGAACAAACTTTCTAGACACCCATTAGAACATGTTTCATGCTAAATATCTTAGCTCTAGCTCTTTGAGTTCTTTTAAAGAAATTTTTTAAAGTTTTTACTATATGCATATAGGGAAAATCAATGACCCCCTGGGGCGGGGCCAATTTTGACCCCAGGGCTTTTATTTGAACAAACTTGGTAGACACTCACTAGAAAATGTTCCATGCCAAATATCTAAGCTCTAGCTCTTAGAGTTTTTTAAAAGAAAACATTTGAAGTTTTTTCTTTCGGTTGCCATGGCAACCAGAGTTCTGCATGGAATTAAATTCTTTGAATAATTTTTAAAGGTGACCACCAAATGAACATTCCTGTGAAGTTTGGATGAAATTGGCTTAGTAGTTTATGAGGAGATGTCATTTAAAGTAAAAGTTTACGGACGGACGACGGACGAAAAGCGATCACAAAAGCTCACCGTGTCACTTTGTGACATGTGAGCTAAAAAAACCCCCAAAAAACCTGCAGGGTGCGTCGCAATATCGGACACATCAGCAGTAAATAAAACCAAAAAAAAAAAGCCGACATTCAAGACTTATGTTAATAATTATATAATTATTATGTAATTAGTTATATGTATCTCAGCAGAGGGATATAGTATACGACTGCCTTCTCTGTTGAAATACTGAATTAGGGAAACATTTGATATTGAATAGAGAGTGACAAAGGGGACATACCTTTGGAGACTCGATTGTCCCAATTTATTAGAAACCTGTTCTATACAAATGACAAGTTAGGTGAAAAACCGCTTAATATGGTTTTGATAATTGGTAAATCAGTTACTTTTCAGATATTAAAGTACATCAGAAATAAAGATTTAAACCACAAGCAAAACCCCTGGTGCACAACTTCTGGTGCTAATCAACATATCCGAAATTTTGTCGACTCTAGCTCAAGCACTTTTAAAGCTACATGTGGCACATGAGAACCCATGGACAGACAGACAAGAGCAAATCTAAATGCCCCCACTATGACACAAAGCTGGTCACCGTTTGGTTGATTAATTAAAGGTCACGAGGTGACTTCTATTGTCCAATTTCTTTTCCTATTAGGTTACTTTTTAAGTACAATTTATGGGTGTGTCATTAAAACAGATATAAACTCATACTATGGTTACTTTATGGTAAACATATTTGTTTAACAAGTCAAGTTACCACTTTACAGCAAAATACCCGTTTATTCAGTCCAAATTTTGGCCACTAATGTTATTCAGATGCTTCTGCAAGATGGCTCCTTATGGAACTTATATAGGGACACATACAGGCAGCCTGTTCTTACCTAAGACGTAAACACTAGTAAGGAAACCACCAATGTCAATTGTTAAGGATAGCACAATAACAAGGCTACAGCCCTATCAATTTTATTTACATGTAGAATAATACATTCATAAATAAGAGCTGTCCGAAGCGGGATCAAATATAATCAGTGCTTTATTGTGAACGGATCCATAAAAAAACTTGTCTTGACAAGTTAACAAACAAATAAGAGGGTTGTGATGGCCCTGGATACCTCACTGTAGAAACATTATTAGAAATAGCCATAGTTTTTTCATGCAAAAGTCAGTAATAAAGTCACATTGGTTGTCGTTTCTGACCTCAGCTGCAGATTTTTTTTAAACATTTGCAGATGTCCCATAGAAAATATTATGTGATAAATATCATAACTCTGGGCATGGTAATATCATACAAGATGACTTAAATGATTTTACTATGCACGTCTATTCAAACTAAATGACCCCAAGGCTAGACCTTTTTTGTCTTCAAGGGCATGGTTTATGTTACTTTTACAACTGACCACATAGCAATGCTACATGCCCAAAATATAAGCTCTGAGCATCGAGTTTTGTAAAGAAGAAATAACCTGGGACAGAATATTATGTCCCAGAAACATCTACCATAAAAAATATTTTCCTGTTAGTCTATATAAATCTTCTTGTGTGGAATCAACTTTGACCTCTTGGACATGATTTTAATAACTTTTGTAGAGTACATGCCAAACATCAAAGCTTTTCGCAATGAAAGTTTTTTAAATACATCTCTATTATACAAGTATATACAGTACAATTCAAGTGACCCCCCCATGGCGATCCACTTTTGGCTTTATTCAACTTTTGTAGAAGTTCAGAAGGCAATGCTATATGCAAAATATCAGTTAATGCTCTGTTCATCGCAATTTCATAAAAGAAGACATAAAAATGTTTTTCCTATAAGTCTTTCTAAATAAATAGACTCCAGTGGCATGATTTACATGATGTTAAAGTCCATAACAATAAAATCCATTTAACAAGAATAACAGAGTTACTATTTGACCACAAATAATTTAACAAATTTAAACAGTCTTCATTTCTTGCTGCAAGTCCAGATTCTCCTTTTATTCATTCATCCATGCCCATATCCAGACTTTCTTTCAAACCAGCTTTTGTGAATTTCTTTTTTCCACCATCTGTAAAACAAATAAATATATCGGCTCAATTAAAACTGCTTTAGCTTGATGATTTTTGCCTTATTGATCGTTGTGTTTATCCTTAGTGAATAATGTAAATTAGAGAAGGAAAGGCAAAAAAGTGAAAGGTTGTAACAGTCCTTTTAGTATCCAAATGGTCTTTAACAGAATTATCTATGTATTTTTTAATCGGCATTAATATAAGATTTAAACTCTATGCTTATCAATTGATCAGCTGTAAATTTGACAACACCATAAGACTGCTTTTCTACTAGGTAATGTCTTGTTCCATTATATTGTCTCACAATCATTAAAATATTCCCTGTCAAAACTATGAATATCAGCGCGTTTTTTTTAAACATCAACCCATTTTTGTATAGATAAACTGTGAAGAATCATACATCTTATTAAAATCACTGTTCATATAACGGAAATAAGTATGTGTGGGAACCAATAACTTGATTAAAAGATGTTAAGTTCTAACGATTTAGAAATAGATCTTTGTTATTTTCTTATTTAAAAAACATTACAGATGAACCTATATTTCAATATTCAACTATATTACACTATAGGTTTAGTTTGGATGAGAACATAAGTGCTATTTTTTCTTCAAACAAACAACTGTCTTGTATGAAGTCAAAATGCTATTTTGTTTATATTTTGCTACTTTTATGGCACATTATTTTACAATTATAATTTCTTGCTAAAGGTAACAAGCAAAATCATTATTAAACATAACATTAACAAATTCATGTTTTTGCCCTTCATATAAAAACAAGTTTTAATTCAATGTGTTTTATATGGGATAAAGTGCTGATTTTATTTAAGTACACAAGTACTTACATTCAGCATCAGGATGGGAAATGTTCAGTCGTTTTCTAAATATCATCAATATCTTCAGCACTATCTGCCCATTCTAGAACCAGTCTTCTTCCATACAAATGAGTGCTGTGACAAAGTGACTCAAATGCCCTCTGTGATTAAATTTATTACAAATTATTTTTTTAACATTTCAAACACAGCAAAATAACAATTTTAATATAGAACACAAATTATGATAAACATCCAAATTAATACCAAATTTTGTATTATTCCCAATTATATATTAAAACATTTCTTTTTCACGCAAAATGTGCCTTCTATTAACATAAACATCTGTTTGGTACTTTAAAATCATTTCTTTTGTTATTTATCAACTGAAGAAGCTTATTAAAGTGAAATATATGTTTTGATGAAGTGTGTTGGTTTTTGATCTATTTATCCTATCCTTATTACCTACAAACACATTGTGTTTTTTGCCTAACACAGTCCCATGGTACACAGTCCCATAGTAATAAACTAGATTAAATTCAAAATTTATTTTTTGTACAATTCTCAACTTCATTTGAATAGTGTATAAAGCTATATATCTGATGCAAAATTATTGTTTGGATTTAAAAAAAAAGAGAATAAAATGCTCAATGAAAAAAAAATAAATTGCCTTAAAACGAGTGGCGCATGCACATAGTCATTGCTAAATGGATAAACTCTACTTAAAATAGCAAAATAATATTTTGTTCCAGAACATTTAATTCTGTTTTTGTACATTATTCATGTGTGTTAAAGAACAGAGACATTCTATGTTACAACTTCTTCAGGAATCAACCATATAATAATGGAACCAATATAATTTTACTGTTGATAGATATTATAAAAATATTTCATAACTTATTGATTTATACCCTTTAAACCCTTTTTATTTTTGGGTCATTTTGAGCTCTGGAAAAACAGATCAAAGGAAAAATCTGAAATTTTGCACACAAGTTATGAGTTTACACTTGCATAAGCTGGTACATTGTACAAAAATCTCGAAAAAATGTTTTCAGTCTTATCATTTCAAAAAACCTCCGTAACAGTCCCTTTAAATAAATAAGAATTACTTTGACAAGTTGAGTATGTGTGATATTTTATATATATTTGCCATGCTTTATATTTTAAACTGTCTATAAGAAGTTTGAATTACAGGATATCAATACCAAAATATTGAAATTTAACTGGTAACAGTATGGTCATTGCCAAACAGGCTTAATGTGCCCCCTATACTGGTAATCTAATCATTTTTATCACATACCTGTGCCAATTTTACGACTCCATAAAAATGATATGGCATAGCCATGCATAGAGTTTTGCCAGAGGCTCGCATAATATAATTTTTTTCAACTTGTTCTATAAATTAAGTACTGAACCTACACTCATTCAATATCCTCTAGATATTTACTGTTAAAGGTTTAAGTACAAACCTTAGCATCGGGTCTTGTAAGAAAGTCAACAAAACCGAAGCCTCTATGTGACCCTGTACCTCCCATCTTCTTCGGTAGCCTTACACTCTTCAACTCTCCAAATACCCTGTACACATCAAAACAAATTCAATTGTAAGTATTTCAAATAATCTAAGGGTGCAATTAATTAATGTCTTTTTTCTTTCTGTCTATAACATGTATAACAACTGCATATAAACTGATACTCTATTATTGATTCAAACTTGAAGCAGTGTATGGCAAGTGAACTGAAGTTGGTGAATGTAACCACTTTGCCACAGAAGCCCCTCTTTTACCATTTCACAAACTTATTCTTAACTTGTTTTGAAGATGCAAGGCAGGACAAACAGCTACTGGTATTATCAGAATGCATGGTTAACTCTGTAGAAAAAATGTGTAGTTTAGAAAATGATTCATCATCCAAATTAATCAAATATTCAATTAACATTATTCGAACGAGAATCATTCATCACACAGAAGTATAAAATAAGAACAATGCAAAGTGACTCCAAGTCAAAAATACTTACTTGAACAACTCGACAACTTCATGCTGTTTTGCCTCAAATGGTATATTCCTCACTAAAATTTTTGTACTTCTTTGTTTCTTTTCTTTCTGTTTCTTTGTTGTATTTTTATCATTTGAAGTACTGTAAAACATAATTTAGTAATGGTAATCTATACTTGGAAGCTAATTAAAAGGACTCAACAGAGGTTTTTTTAGACATGTTGGGACTGGAAATTATAACATTTTTAGATTTGTTTACTATTTGGTTTAATAGGTCTAGACCAATAACTTGTATGAAAATATCTGATGATTCTTTCACAATATTTTTCCAGAATACCAATAACAATTTGCATTAAGCAAAATGACAAGCGTTTAAATGATTTTCACTCAAACTAAGCTAAGAAAACATACAAAATTAGATTTTAAATTTAATCTGGAGATTAATCGTTACTTTAGTACAATAACTGATTAACTGCTATTAGATTTAAAAAGACTTATTATGTTATTGCACTAAGGCGACAAATTGATCTATGGAACCGTATAACTCAACTCCGACTAAGAACTACACAAAAATATGTTTTCCAACTTAATTATGAGTAAGCATTATATTTCAATTAATATCTTCTCCATATTATTTCAATATAAGTGCTCCAGTAAATCTGTGAAAAAATGACAAATTTTATATTTTTAAGCTATTGGAGTACAGCGGAGCTCTGTTAATGAAAGTATATACCTGGTACACTCAATGACTTTTCACTTTACATAACAGAGGCCTAAAAAGTGGCCTCTTCCCAATTGAATTTTTCTTCAAACTCATGCAGTTTTCCCCCCAAAAAGATCTTACTGTAAGGCATGACATACCTTGCAGTGGTACGATTTGAAACTTTCAGTTCCAGTGAGTGACCATCAAGGCTGGTATGCTGCATATTTTTGATAGTCTCTTGTGCCCCATTGTCCGTAAAAAACTCCACAAAACCATAACCCATTGACAATGTCTGTCCTGGTCTTTTCATGTCTTTCTTTTTTGCCACATTAGCTGTTTTAAAACCCTTGCACTCACTAAAATGCTGCAAACATAAATGTTATACATAACGTTATAATAATCTTATAATACAAGAGGACTAGGATAATCCTGTATTGCTCACCTGAAATACACTGCTAGAAACGGCTAAAATTCTTCTATACAGTAATCAGGTCTCAATGGGTGTATCATTTTTGACTCCATAATTCATAAACTATTTGCAGACATCCACATGGAAATGCTAAAGGCCAAATATTAAAGTTCTTCACACAAGGAAACTTTAATGTGTTTCTTTAAGTGTTTAACTTTAACGTGTTTTCTCTTTGTTGACAGCAATCGCAAATGCTCACCTCTGCGCACTTTGTGCTTAAGTTAGCAAAAAAAATAAATAAAAGTAGACATTTGAATTCCAGGAGGAACTTAGGTGAGCAAAAAAGGAAGTAGACATTTGAATTCCATAAGGAACAATATATAATATTCTATATCAAATAGTCAATATTCCTCTTCTTTAAGGGTTACAACCTTACAAGAGATTTCGTGGTAATGGTCATAAGTAAAGTGCAACAATCTTGTTAAATTACACATGGTCAAAATGTTCATGAGCAAATGTCGATAACCTCCCAAGCAAATATCGATACCCCCCCCCCCCCCCAAAAAAGAGACCAAGAACATACATGATAAATGTCCAAGAGCTCAAGCTGAAATAAAAATTCAACAACAAAAAAATATGCGATAAAATGGCATCAGCTTGCAATATGATAATGTAACCAAAAGACATCAGTGACACATCGCTAAAAAAAACCATTATTTTACGTCAAGTAAATCAAACACCAAACTTACTTGTTTTAAATTTTCATCTGTTGTGTCGAAGTGAAGATTTTTCACAAATAAAACACTCCTGACTTCTTCATCATCGTCACTATCATCATCATCTTTTTTGCTACTTTTACTTTCTTCCTATAAAATAATGAAGACTTAGAAAATTATACACATAATGCTTCCAGCTTTTCCATCAATCTGAAAATTAATATTCATTAAAAGATTTTACTTAGCTAAACACTAATACATACTTGTATTCATGGAACTGAGTTTTATAGATTTTATAAAGTTCAAACAGTTTCGTTCCCACGGAAATTAATTCTTACTTTACACAGCCTAACAAAAAATTTTCTGTTGAAAAAGTTGAAAGTATAGTGTTACAAAATGACTTTTTGTCTAAACCAATAACTACAACTAAATCTACTTTCAACAGTTTTAGTTTCTCTTTACTTTTCTCAGAAAACATATAAACCACATATTAATACATGCTATTCTCCATATACTACCTTCTTCTCTTGGAATAGTTACATACAATGTATATCACTTTAATTAGTTACTTTATTCACAACACAGATTTAAAAGCCAAAAGGTTAATTTCAAGCAAGCAACAGGTGTTTCAATTCTTTACGACTCTTCAGTGTTCATTTTTCAATCCTAAGTTTAGAATCAAGATGCTTGCTTAGGATGTGAGCGGTCTGGGGCCCTAAAATTTGTTTGTTTTGGTTTTAAGGCACACCAACACATTATAGGTCATATGGCGCTGAAACAGAAAAGATGATTTTGGCTAACCTCGGGTGTTACAAATTTCAAAGCAACTATTAGTTGATGAAGTGATACATGTATTTAACCATTTCAATAAGATTTAAAGGGTATTTTATTCAGATTTAGATGTCACACCTTTATTTCTGTATTCTTTCCCATCTCCTGGTCTCCACCATCCTTTACTTGAGTTGTTACTTTAGATCTGTCAGGTGGTGGTGTGGAGAACACTTCCATTGGAGCCCATTCCAAGAATAATGGTACATGATGAAACTGAAAAAAATATTTATGTACCTGGTTTAAAGGCCCATTATGTTCAAGAAATGTTTTTATTTTTATTTCTCAAAGCTTTATTATTGGAGTACATTTTATAGTTTTCTAAAAGTTACTCATTGGCCAATTACCTGATCCATCATTCTCCTCTGATGCTATTTGACAGGTAGTACATTTTTATGGATTTAACATTTTGTATCAAAGTCAAAATACTACTTTGTTTACAATTGCTTCTTTTAGGACAAATTATTTTACTTTTTGCGCTTCTTTCTTTAGGTAACAAGCATCTTTCATGCTCTTAAACAATCTTTTATACGTTATAATACTCAAGTCTGTCCTTTCTTTAGAGGCAAAGATTTATTAGCTACAAAATGTGATTTATAACTAAAATACAAATAAATTATCCCAATTTTCAATATGAACAATACTGTATTGAGGTTGAGACTCACTAACTATTAGGTTTTGAGACCTTTATTAACTAGCAGAAAACTTCCTTCATCATTTTCACAACATCAACTAGAGAACAACATTACCATTCTATTGTTTTATAAAGGACTTGTCCTGCTGTTTGAGTTTAAAACTGTCTATGTTTGATAATGGGGGTTTTGATATCAAAATGATTTAATTAAACAGCTGACAGAATGAAGAACCTTGTTAAAATTCACAGGTAAAGCACAGCTGGGTCAATGTTATCCTAACATTTAAATGAAAATGTATCACATACCTTTCTATACGCTAATTTAGTAAATGCAGTCTTTGCTTCAGTTGGTACATGGAACTCTACAATGGCAGTTATACCTGAGGGAGGTAACAACACTCTGCCCAAGCTTCCATACGGTGAAAATACTGTCTCTATTTCTGAAATATCCGTCTTTGCTGGAAGGTTTTTTACAAGTATTACTGTTTTACTTCTTGGTGCATTGGGCTAAAACAAATATATAGACATGAAATAATTATCTCATAAAATATTGACTCCTTGATAAAAGTGAGTATAACTTTATTTATGTAAAAGATTCCGAAATTTTTTGCAGCAAGCTGGGTAATATACCTTAAATACAAATCAATAAGGGGAGCAGGAGGCTTGAGTTTAAGGCAACTGCCTCACAAACCAGGAATTGTGTTTCCAGAGGCGAACTAAAGTCAAAAGCTACAATTTGTCATATAACACCTGGAACTGGTTAGTTCCAGGAGACTGACAATTAAAGAGAGTATTTCAAATAAATCTTAAAGCTTTCAATACAATTAAACTAAAATGAATTTGCCTAATCTTTTTTCATTAATCACAATTCTCTGTCTTTTAAAAATCCATTCTCAATTTTGAAAAGAATCTTCCTACCTTAAATAACACCTGACTGAGTGGCCGAGTGGTAATTATGCTTGACTAATAATCTAAAGGTTGCTGGTTGCATGGTTTCAAACTGTCATGGGCTAGCCATTGGTGCCTTGAGCAAATAATTTTACAATCATTGCTTAGAAATGGATGGCTCTAGATTGTAATCAATGAGATTATAGCTTTCTACACAATTATCATAAACCAAAAACAAGGTAAATATCAAAGAGTACAATATACATTGTATCAGAAAATGTTTTGTACAAAAATGTATATAAATGGTATTTACCTGACTAAAACTATCCAATGCAACGCCATTGTCTGTAAGGAAATCCCTTGTCTCTTGGACTACTTGTGTTTCACCAAGAGCAAGTCTTACTCCAAGACTTCCTTTTAATTCCTGAAGTAGAAAAAAAAATTCACTGAAGCATTGAAATCAGATTTATTCTGTTTGTCATATATCAATGCTGTCAATGTCTGTAACATTATGATTATTTCCATAAATCTATGCTTATAATGTTTGTAAGATAGTTTTTCCATAAATTAATGCTTATAAACCTTGTAACAAATTGAGTTTTTCCATAAAACAATGCCCATAATCTTTGTATTATTACAAGTTTTTTTTCCATAGAGCAATGCAGCGTTTCTTTCTATCATTTCCAGTTTTTCCATACATTGATGCTCTATGTTTATAACACAAGTTTTTTCTATAAACCAATGCTCATAATCTTTGTAACTTTATGGGTTTTTCTATATATAAACAAAAAATATATGATTTTATATACTCTTATTCAATATCACTTTAAAATATTCAGAATGTAGTTTCACTAACATAAATTAATTTCACAGTTTTCACAGGTCAAGACGCGAGGTCTCAGGTCAAACGAACATTCTGTTCACTATTTCATTACTGTCCTCTGTTTTCATAATTCATTATTCTTGTAACATTAACTTTATATGTACAATTCTAGTATTAACTCTGAAACCCAATTTTAAAAGTTTATCAAGAAATCATTGTATAACTCTTCTGTCAATTCAATGGTCTAGACTTCTTACCTACTAGCTAAAAACTCTATGTGGTAAAAAGAGAACCCACTTATTAATGACAGAGGTAATCTGTAGCCAAAAATAATATTGAAAGTTATGTATACATACTGTATCAAGTATATCACTTTTACTGGTCTTGTATTTTTCAGCTAGAACATCAGCCACTGCATTGGCTCCAAGAAATAAGGAATTCCAATTAAACGACCTAAAAAATTAATTAGAAACATATAAATGAGAACCTTGGAAACTTTACATTGTAGAATAAATGTGACATAGTAACCAAAACTCTAGAAAATTAATCACATATGAAGTACAATGTCTTTATGCATAACACAAAATAGTCAGAACCATATAGATTGGTTTTCAATTAATCTGAACCTCTTAAGCATACGAGGTCACTTCAGTGAGAGAAATAACAGTCCTATCAGAGTAATATTTTAGGCATGAGACATTAAAATACCCCAAGTCTGTGCATATAATGAATTTCCTTTTCAATCTTTTTTTCAAACAGTAATGTAATACTTACTAAGAAGTAATGGTAGAGACATATGCAAGAATTATTCCAGGTATAAGCAGGTAGCAAATGCATGAAAACTTGTACACAAGCTCTTTTATTTATAAACAATTTTAACTTACAGGAAGATAGCAACTACAAATAAACTTACTTTGTCGCATTTGCCTTGTCTTTTGCACTTTTCTTTTTCTTGTAAGATGACCCTTCTGTAGAAGAAAACATTAAAAACTCCTAAAATATTGCTTCAGAATTATGCCCCTTTTCACAACTACATCTAGTCATGATTATTAAGTACACCAAAATTCGTGTTGATACCACCTTTAAGTGTTTTAGGAAAATAAGCTACAATAAAGTTTTTTACACAACAAAGACAATACAGAAATCATAATAACTTTTTTCAAAACAGTTCAAAAATTAAAAATGAAGTCTGCTTCACAGTCCATCTTATACTGGTGTTAATGAGGAACCATAAAAATGAATTTAGTAGATTTTTTCATGTTTCACTATTATTGTTATTGATATGTTTTACCTGCACTCTCTTCTTCAGTTTCTTTCATCTCCTTTGCTGTTAAAAATATGTAACATTCTTCCCTGCAAAAATTAAACTACTTGTCTTAACTATAAAAGGACTGGTAAGGACATGTTAACTTTATAAATTCATCAATTCAATTTCAGGAATTCACAATTTCAACTTTCATGACATTCGCAATTTCAACATATTGAAGTCATGAATTTTCCAATTTCAACACACGATAACACAAATATAACTTCATGAAAATTCAACTTCATAATTCACAATTTTTCAATTACTGAATTTACGAATTCAAACAAAGGGTTAAAAAATTGTAATTCATTAGAAGTTGAAATCATAAGAACTTGGGAATTTTCGTGAAGGCCGAAATTTATGATTTCACAAATCTGAAATATTCAAAATATGAAATTCATTTAAATTGAAATCATGAACTTGTGAAGTTTGAAATGTTGAATTCATGGAAAAATTGAAATGAAGAGGGTTTAAGTTAAAATGTCCAAAAGGTTTACAGCTTACCTGAAAAACTTTGCCATCTAAGGCACTTAAATAAGCATTGACTGCATGTTCTTTGGGATCATATAGGTTTAATAAACGCCAAACCCTTCACCTTTCTGTCCAAGGGACCTTCATTTAAGAAACAAAATTTCATTTCATTAGAATACAACATGCAAGTAGTGTTGGCCGGACATGGCAGAGTGGTTTAACATGTCAGGATAGTTATTCTAAGAAATTGCCGGTCGCAGGGGTTTCAAATCCTTAGCCGTTTGTTGGCCGTTTTTGGGCCATGAGCACGAAACTTTACAGCTCAATACATAGTTAAAGGCACCGATTTAAGAAAAAGATACAAGAATGTTTGCTTTTCCAACACAATTTGAAACTAAAATTTAAAATTGTATTAATCTGAACCTAACAAACATGATTTAAAAAGGCTTACTTTAAACTGACTTGTATAATTTGAAAACCCAACTTTAATTATTAAATAATAAATGTTTGTAATGAACACTACCAAAGTATCTTACATCAGTTATATATACAAAAATATATTTAAGTTTATATAGATAAATGTCAGACTTTTAGAACTGTATAAATTATGCAAATTTATGCAATGACTGCAATTAATTATTCATACCAAATTTTTTAAACTCCTCCTCCAAATCTTCTTCTGTACAAGAGTAGGATAAATTTCTGATAAAAAGTCTCCCTGTCTGTAATTAAATTTTAAAGTGTATAATAAGCTATACATGTTTATCTGCTGCCTCTAGTTTACGAAATAAATTTTTGAATTTTTATACAGAATATCTTTTCAAAACTGTAACTTGTATAAAGGAAATATGTTTGTGGATATCTTAAAGAATAAATGGTGCTTACACAAATCATTGTCAAATGGTTAAAAATCCTACTTAGAGGCCGAATTATACTCAAAAATACTATTACCATTATTTCTCAAAAGTTTTTCACTTTTCCATTATCAAATAATGAAAATCTCCATAATCACCTTTTATTGTGTCAGAGTCACTTAAAACTTATAATAGATAAAAAATGAAACAAATGTCTTTTTCATGACATGTCATCTGAAAGCTATATAAATGATCTGTCTCAGAACAAACCACTTTTATTAACAACCTAAGCTTATTTGTTCTGAACAGTAAGGATAAGATATAGAAATAAAATAATAATTACCTCTGCTATACCTTCACAATCTTCTGAATCATTCTGTAATAGAAATACATATGAAACTTTTACAAGTACACACAGTAAGAAATATATACATTGTTGACTAAAGTAGTCCTATGTTATTCTTAAAGCAGCCTCAAGCTATTCTTAAGCTAAATATGTTATTTTTAGATATATTGTTTCATATAATTGTCAAATCATAAGAATTAAAAATTTGCAGACGATAAAATGCATGAACAATAAGGAAGCCCCTTACTGGATTTTTTTGTTTAGTATCTAAAATACCTTTTAGCAAAATTAAGGCCATCTGTGTGATATCAACTTTTCTTAAAATTTTAACTTACTGCCAGTGGTTAACAAATTACTGACTGTAGTTCAATTGAATCAATAAGAATCAGCTTGAAAAGCAAACAAATAGAGCTCGACTACATGTATTCCAAGTGCTTGACAGTAAGAAAGGGTGCATTACTCTTTAAAAATGTAACCCAAAGTTATGGGACCTGTGCCCATCAGGTTAGATAATCACAGAGAACAATTATATGAAGCTTCAACTCATCCCTTCAGCAGTTATAAAGATACCAACTTGCATGCTAAAACTTAACCAAAGTGTGACAGGGAGCGCCATTTTGAATTCAATAGCTCACCCTATTCTTCAAACAGTCAAGAAAAATATATAAGTATTCAAGCCTTACTTTAATTTCCCAGGGTCGTGGCTTCTCTGTCTCAGGTATATCCTCTTGTTCCTGGTCACACTTTTTCAAAAATATTCTTTTACCTCCTATAAAGTTCTTGTTTCTTCTCAACCCTTGATCAAGGTCACTTTCTGTTTCAAATCCTACATAGGCTATACCTGAATAAATGATAACTTAAGTTGTTTAAAATTGAAATTCCCTGAAATTATAATGGCAAGCTGAAAAACAAAACAGGTTGATCAAACGTAAATTCAACTTTTTATATTAAAACATTCTACTAAAGTGAGTAAGAAACAACTTTTTCTTCAGCTATGTGAAATATTTACAAAAAGAGGTCTAGTTATGATCAATTTTATCTTGAGTGGTCCAGTTTATCAAATAAGAGTGCCACCTTGTTTCAAAATATGCCAATCAGGATGTTTCATGATGGTGAACATTTACATTAGAATCCATCAATAGTTTCTTTTTTTGTTTTACATAACCTTTGCATGTGACCTTGACCCTGGCCACACAAACCTGGATTTTGCGAGATTCAATCCTCATCAAAATGGTGAACATTTATGGTAACTTCCCGTAAGATAATTATAATTACTCAATGTATTTAGAAGTTTCATTTGAAAGAAGCATTTTTGTGCAACCATATCATGTTTCCTAAAAACCTGTGTCACTAGTGTGACACTATGTCTTGTGCTGGTGAACATTTTGTATAAATACTTAAATCACTCCATGCATGTAGAAAATAAGTTCCTAACAAAACTGAATGCCTAACCCACCACAGATGCCACATAAGGAGCAATCATGCAATACAACCAATTTTTTTTAACACTCTAATAAAAACGTTTTTAAAGTATTTTTAGTAATTAATCATTTTTCAGGTTTTTACTTCGTGAATATTAGATACCGGTTGTTATTTGATAGGTTGATAGGGTATGTCCTTCATGACTGAATGATTGTCCCTGACTTTAAATTACAAAATCATCATCATTGCAAATTTTCAGATTCTGTCTTTTGAGGTAATCATTATGATAACTAAAGAAATAATTGTGATTATATCACACCACCACTGAGCTAGAAAATACACTTATACATGTAATAGACATAGTACCTATACAATGTGACTTTTTATGATCTGAGTGTGGGTGGAAAACCAATACTTAAGATCTAGTATTAGGAAGTATTGTCTTTAATGACTTTTTTAATATGTGATAATTATTTATTAAATAAAGTGTGGAGCCTGCTCTGGCTAATGAGTAACCCATACTTAGAAAATGTTTTATGGGTAATAAAGTCAGATTTTTTTCACATGAAGTGAAACCGAGTTGAAATTTTCTCTGTTATTCAAACATTTGATGAAAGAAAATTTTAACTAGATAGATCACAAAAAGCCATGTGAAATAGACACTGTAGCAGTGGGAACTAGCATTCCTCTTTTATTATCCAAGTGGGAAACTGTCTCAATGACACACATCCACATTAATAGATATTAAACTTTATAACAAAATGCAGATTCCACTTACCAATAGGTCTTTTTGCAGCATTTTTAGCAACATGCAACTTTGCTAGTTTTAATGGATTGAAAAATTCTCGTACTGCTTTCTGAAATTATAACAATATAGAATATATTATCCTATACAATAAAAGACAAATTTTTATTAATTATTAAACCAGTGTGTGATTTTAAAGGAGCTCCACTCTAAAAAACCTAAAATAATATCTTTTTTTAAATTCTTACATAGATCACCTGGGGCACTTACAATGGGAAAAATATGAAAAAGATAATACAGAAAAAATTTCAGAATGAATTTGAATATCAATATTTAAATGTGATTCTTAGCTTAACTGTAGTTTTAAGGTCTTTTTGTGCAAATAAAAAGACTGTTTCTGGAAAAATTAGTGGATGAATGCTGTAAATTCTTGCATAGCCCTATTTTACATGGTATAAAATCTTGGAGAAATACAGACCTGTCATGTCAAATATCTCAGTTGAGTGCCTTTAATAAATATTTTCAAAAAATTATAGTGAAGTTGTCTAACTTCATATTAAATTTTCCTTGCCATAATTTATACTTTATATATATCAACTACATGTTTGTTTGATTGGGTTTTATGTCACACCGACACAGTAAAGGTTGTATGGCGACGTTCCAGCTTATTTAAGGCACGAGCAGGCACCACCGACGTTCCGTAAGCTAGCTTGATAGCTTCCTCACATGAAAGAATCCAAAGTCCCTGTCGGGATTCGAACCCACAGCGGTGAGGGGCAAGTGGTTTGAAGTCCTTAACCACTCGGCCACGGACGCCCCTCATCTACATGTAATAAAATTAACTTGGATTTTGTTCTACCCTTAATTGTTTATAAAATATTTCAATTAATTGTTTATATATCAATTATCATTATTCAAATTTTAACTATTATGAATCTTGTTAATCAATAATAATATTTTTTTTTAATAAAATCAAAATAACATTGCTAAAATTTGTGAAGGCTAAGAAACAACAACATTTTACAATGATTACCTCTCCACATTTTGTAGGGATGCCTTTCATTTTCAACATAAACAAAGTTTTCTTCTCTTCCTGCAAGGAAAACAATTTTTTTTTACTTATAAAGTAATGGTAATTTTGTAGGAAATTTCTTAATTATAAAGCTCTAACAACTTTTATATCAGCAATTCTTTGCAGTGTGAAGAAAGTGATCACAAGTAAAGTATACAATATCATGTACATACAATTATAATGTTTAATACTTTTTATGACATTTAATCTGCCAAACTAACTTATGGCATCCATAGTACATTTATTTCAAACTTAGCAGTTAGTAGTTAAAAATCGACTTATGTGTTTGGTGTTACTTTAAATTCCTGATATCCAATCTATATATTATGCAAAGCAGGGTATTTTTTCCTTCTAAAGCAGGGGCCATTTATAGGCCTTTCTTCCTCTGAAAATTCTTTTTAAAAATCATTGATTTTCCCCCCTAAAATTCAGTTTACATTAAGTTTTCTCTTCCTCTTATTTTAAAATACCATGTTATTTTGTCCCTAAATTTAAAGAAAGACCCTTTCACCTATCTGTGAAAAAATGCCCTGCGAGACATTCTATCTCACATATGGTATGCATTTGTAACTTTCCAAAAATCAGGCGATTAATGTTTTCAAACTTACTTCATTTTTCTTGTCTTTTAGCTTTTTTGAAGATACCGTCTTATCGTTGCTGTCCTCATCAGAATCAGAATCATCAATTCCCTCTGTATCTTTACTAGAAACTTTAGACTTCAGATACTAAAACATTTTGATAAAAACTTCAAAGATGACAAAATCATTACTACAACAGCAATTCAAGATTATATGCACAAAATATTGTGCCTTATCCTTATTATTTTTATAAAGATAGCAAGCAGAATTCTGATACAAGAGTTATAGGACAAACATAACACTCCACTTATCTCAGTGTGAGATACCTATGCAAGAATCATATAAGGGAAAAATTCAGGGAAAAAATCAGACTGAAGTAGGGATAAGGTGAAAAAGTAGGGGAAAAATAAGAAAAGTAGGGGTCACTTGACTGTCTGCTATTGTCATGACCATAATGCACTTATATATGGAGTAGATATATGTGTGGAACTTAAAGCACACAACAACTGTTTCTTAAATTTAAATAAAAATTAATGAATTGCTAAACATGGCAGTTTTATGAAAAGACATTTATGTAAGACCTTGGGATTATATAATAGATCCACTGATGTTCTATAAGCTAGCTGGCTAGCTTCCTCACATGAAAGTATCCAAAGTCCCTGACAGGATTCAAACCTACAGTGGTAAGGTGCAAGTGTTTAGAAGTTAACAACCTTAATCACTCTGCCATGGACCCCCACCCATAGTTTAAATCTGGCCAAGGACTTCAATACAGCAAGTAATGAATATTATAGTTATAGGAACTTACATCAAGATCGGATAAACCTTTCACAGTGGCTGTCTTTTTCTTCTCTGTCTTCACCTCTTCATTTTCATCTAAAAAAATTCAATCAAATCTTGTTTATATCTATGATACCATTTCAACCTTTAACCTGCAAGAACTAAAATTGAATAGCCTTTGCTACCAGTATAGAGCAACATGTAGGCTTACCTACACATCCGGTCTGATCAAGTTATTGGTTGCTGAAATTTTGTACTTCGATATTGAAATCCCTAGAACATTGAATGGAGTGTTTCAAATTCAAAGCTGGGAAATTCTATTACACAATTTCAGGTATAGTCATCATGTTTGACTTCTAAGAACATCATATATATTTTTGTATAAAAAAAACATATTATGAGAATAAAAACTATGTGTGCTACAACATGGAAAGCTAAAGTGTTAAAGAAGATTCTGTTGTGTGTCCTGCTTATTTTGTATAATAAACTTGCCCTACTTTAAATTCAGAACTGTTTACTGTTATTTAGAGGGATGTCATTATAAAGTTAAGCAGTAAACAGAGTAAAGTCCTGTATGACAGAATAGACAGGGAGTCGATCTTGATTCAATGCTGGTGGAATTTTTAACCCTGGCATTCAATTATAGTGTAAATGAAAATTGCAACTCAAAACTTGCCAAAACAAAGTTTAACATGAAATAAATTTTGCAATAAGGTAAAAAAATTACAAGATATGAAAACAACTGCTTACCATCAGAATCTGATTCACTGGCACTGTCATCTGATGACTCTTTCAAATCGGACATTTTGTCGTCACTGACCATACTTTCCTTCTCATCCTTAGGTCTTACACCATCATTGGTCCAGACAGGTTTAACACTTACATTCTGATGGACCTCCAGAAATTCATTAAACTTAGGATCATCCTTAACCTGAATTTAAGACAATAAAATTTATTAGCAAACATTGAGTTTTATTTGGTTATTTCAATGAATAATTAAACAAAAAGATAACAAAAGTAAAATTGCACTAAGGGCCAAAATAACAAATGGTTCTGATGCAGTTAAATTTCAGAGAGATGGACCATGGCAAGAATTTATACACTGTGTGATTATAAGTGGCAGGAAATATATCAGTTGGTAGACGGTTGATACAACAATTTTGATAATTTTTTTATCTCTTCTTTTTTTACCCAAAATAATTGGCTTGGATGGAGGCTTTGACTCATTATCAGGGACAACTGCCCCTTTGAATCCCTTTGAACCCCTTTGCTTGGACCTTTAAAAACCTTTTACAACTAAATCACATTCAGTCCTTTGAAAGATAAGCAGATGCAATAAATTTGGTATCATTTTCATGCCAAACACATGTGTCATAAGACAGACCAGACCTGACATCTACATGTATTTGATGTATCAGTCATGATATTACATATCAATATAATCAGTATCTCTTTTATACTATATTATACAACTTAAATGTATACTAGGGGGATTACATAACACTTAATGTTTATAACTTACATCATCTAACAACTCATCAACAATCTTATGGTCTGCTTTCTTATTTTTCTTCTTCTTTTCATCCTGCAATAAATCAAACAGTTAAGCTACATGATTTGTATATATATTTCTTGTATCTTTATTAACTGCAGCACAATAGGTTGTACAAAGTTATAATAACCCCCGTAGCAAAACAAAAATTGAAATTTCTCAAACAGTAATAAATATGCAGTGCAAGACAAGTTTGGACATGACAGACAAGTTAATACAGTTCATTAAATTAATACAAAATTCATTTTTATACAATTTATTTTATATTCTTTATTTTCACTATGTCAAGATAGCCTTTAATCATTAAGAATACATGTGTATGTGACAGCTGTATATGAACAGTCTGTTCTGTGTAAAATGCTTTCTTTGCATGGTTTAAATGCAGATTTTAACAGGTTTTTGGTCATATCTCATCAGTCAGTCCTTGCGAGTGTTTTTTCCCAGATGATTTACTATTAATTACCAATTTCTCTGCAAGTGACCTGGACTACTAATCGCACATGAATTCTGTATCAACAGTGAGAGACAAATTACTATTAGACACAATGTCTGAGATCAACTGTAACATCAAATTAAGCATTGCCCTAGGATCAAACCAGTGACCCCTGGATTACAAATCCTATGAACTCCCTGTTGAGATTAGTGGACCCACAATGTAAGTGTAAGATGCATTGCATAATTAAAGCATTATTGACTAATGATTTCAAAAATTCAGTAATGAATTACCTTTTTAGGTACATCTTCTTTTGAAGTTTTCAAGCTTGCCTGACCTGCAGAACTATCTTTTGCATACTTGCTCCATGCCCTTGGTTTGTTTATGTCCCCAAAATCTTTTGCAATTTCAATCTGAAACAGATAATATTCATAAAGAAAACATACACATACTTACAAAAAATGTTTTTATTGAGTATGTTTTTTTCTGCATTTAATAGCAGTTCCTTTTGTCTCAAGATGTCTTTGAAGTCACATATATTTACAAATAGCAAAACATTTACCTGAAAGGCCAAAACTGTGAAGTTTGTGTGGATATAGTTTTCTAAATATGTCTCCAGTGAAAAAACAAACTTGTTGATAGAAACCTAGAAACCAGAAATAGTAGCTCAAAAAGGTTTGATCCCCAGGGATATACCCTTTTCAAGATTTCTGAAACCATTATGTTTTTAATTGAGATTTACCTTCTTCACAAAGAATGTTTTATCCTACTTAAGGTCATTGTTACATAAAAACCAGTCAATACAAAATTCAAAATATCTTTAACTGGGCCATTCTGGTGATCTTGAAGTGTTTCCCTATTACAATTTACACTTTTTTAAAGAAAAGGTGAGTATATGATTTTACATACCACAATTTTAGAAGCATCAATAAAGGTCTTGTTAAACTGTTTTAAGGCTGTTTGAGCTTCTTGTTCTGTTTTGTAGCCAATGAAAGCAAACTTTCTAAACACTCCATTCTTAGTATACTTTAAACTACAGTCTGTAACTGAGCCAACCTTGCCAAAATGATTCCTTAACTTCTCTTCCTTTATCTGAAATATGAACAACATTTTATATAAGTTCTGTAATTTACATCATGCCAACATCATACTCGTAGGTCTTATGGCGACTTTTCAGATTTACTTGTGGAGGAAGACCTCAGGTGCCCCTTTGTACAATATTTCAAGCAGAAACGACAACCTGAGTAGTGCCGTCGACGTTCCATAAGCTAGCTGTATAGCTTTCTCATATAAAAGAATCAAAGACCCTAGCGTGGCTCAAACATACAGCGCTGAGAGGCAAGTAGTTTGAAGTCAACAACTTTAACCACACAGCCACTGACAACCCCTGTTAGTTCTATGAAGAGTTAAAATATACATATAGTATGAACTGACTTTGTAAGTCCTTAATTTTCAATACATAAATATCTAGGGGTATTGAATAGACGGATACCAAAAATAAGCTATTTTCACGAAAATTAGATCGCAGCTATGAAAATAAGATTTATTTTTGAAATAGTGCATTAATCTGTTTAAATAATTGTTAATATATATATATATATATATATATATTATATATATATATATATATATATATATATATATGCATTCTTCGATTTGAGCTATTTGCGTATGATGGTATTTTCGGCTCAAACTTCATTTTAAAAAAAAATTATTTTTTTGTTCTGAAATTTTAATTTGCTGTAGAATCATTCAAAGAATGCATATATATATATATAATATAATTAACATAATTATTTAAACAGATAAATGCACAATTTCAAAAATAAATCTTATTTTCGTAGCGATCTTATTTTCGTGAAAATAGCTTATTTTCGGTATCCAATCTATACCGAATATCTATCCCGGGACAACCAATATTCAATCAGTTAAGCTGTTTTTAGCCAATAATGAATGGAAGGGGAAACTATACTTTAAATTTATTTTAGCTATTAATGCATCTATTAACACTTATTCATTTTCAGGTTGGTACATTTTCAACAAGTCTTGATCTTTCTTAGAAATTCAATAAAAACAATATGACCCACTTGGGTTAGTCCCAGGAATATTTTAACCTAAATTCAAACAGCAGGGTAATCACCTTGGAAAATTTGTAAAAGATTAATCAGGGCCACTAAAAATTGTAAAAAATTTCACAATAGTCTATTCAACAATTTTCAACAGTTTTTTTTCCAGATTTTGAAAAACACTCAATGTTATAACATATGTACAGCACAATGCATTGGTATGACTACTGACGATTTCGAGACGTTTCGGCCCCAAGACGTATCGGCCCCAAACTACCCAAGACGTTTCGGCCCCGGACGTTTCGGCCCTTTACCAAATCGGCCCCAGAATATGTACTGTATTTTAAACCGATATATTAATAGCATTTAAATGATTAAATGAATAAATTAATATATATATTCAATCATTTTGTATAAAAACTAGATTATAATAGTAGTAGGGGAAAAATAATCAATACAAACAGAACAGAACATAAACTTTATTTGAAAAAATATAATACACAAACAAACAATTATTTACAACATATATAGATAATATTTTATTAATACAAACGGAACAGAACATAAACTTTATTTACAACATATATAGATAATATTTTATTAATACAAACAGAACAGAACATAAACTTTATATAAAAAAATATAATACACAAACAAACAATTATTTACAACATATATAGATAATAGTCTTTCTGTGTAATGCCTATCAAAGAGAGAAAAAAAATAAAACAAAGGAAAGAAAACCAGAACGCAATTTAACCATTTTTGAATCTTTTTTATTTTCTTCCTTTTTGGATTATTTTTTTAACATTCATTCATTCATTCAAATTTTATGACCGACAAAAATATTCCGAACAGGTAGTTTTGTTTCGTTAAGTAATATCTTGTTAATCAGAAGTGTGCCGCTGATAATTTAATCACTTACCGATACGCGTGTCAAACATCACACTTACAGATAAACAACAGGTCTTATATCAATCAATCAACTTTAAATTCTTTAAAACTTAAAATATACAGGTCTATGTTTATCTTTGTCCGTATCAATTACAAAATGATAAAATAGCATACTAATTATAAAATTAAACATGTCTAATTATAAATCATAATTTTTATTTCCCAAAGTGTTATATTTTTTATTCCATTCCTTTCACTTAGAAAAACATAGAAAAACATACCCACTGAGCCAGTTTTTTCGTCATATGAATAGTTTTGTAATACAAACTATTAAGTAGTTCTCTTTAAAAATTGATTTAACATTTATTTAAATGGGAACTGTAAATATTTCACCTGCAGCCATAGACAAAATCGAAACATTCGGTCATGTAATGTTACAATGAAAATAAAATATAAGCCATAATATCTAAAATTCTTTTGTCACTGTCAACATTGTTTGTTTAAACTAATTAATAAATAAATATAATTATTATTTGTTACACCTTTAAAATCACATTAATTAACGTACATCTAAATGGTTCTTGAAAGAGATCAAAAGATAATAAATAATTATTTAAAGAATTAAAGTGTCATAATTGTTTAATTGTTATTAAATTTTTGTTGTTAATCAATCAAGCAATATACTATAATGGGGCCGAAACGTCTCGCGGAAAAGGGCCGAAACGTCCAGGGGCCGATTTTTCGACTGGGGCCGATTTGGTTTGGGGCCGAAACGTCCTGTTTCCCTACTGACGTACTGTCAATGTGTATAAAAAGGCAGTTAAAGGTGTCACTTCTTAGTACGCTATTTGGGGTGCAAAATGATAAATGCATCCAATCTTTACAGCCATTTTACCTTCCCCACTTTATAATATTAGCAAATATGGAAACTTGTCTAGATCTGCCAGCTGGTATTGCTTACAAAACAATTCTTCTACAATCATCACATGAAAAAATTTGATAACAATATAAGATTTTATTAATAAGGACCCCCATGTAAAGACTGATGAATATTTAGTGGTACATCATATAAATAAATGTTTAAATACACCTAGGACTGAGATAAATGGTAAAACTCTTTAGCCAATACTTTATGAAAAAAATTAACTTGCTAAGAAATTTTTTTACCACTATTTTAACAAGTGACTATTTTGATATAGTGAAAGTTGGACAATTTATATTGTGTCAATTAAATCAAACAATTTCTTATTGTTTTTCTGATAACATCTGACAATTAATCAAGTATGGCATTTCTGCAAGTTTTGAAGTTAATACAACATGTGAGTTCATGCAATTTAGTCCAACATGACATCAGTGCCACAGAATTAAGAATGTGTTTGAATTTAGGTTGTGATTGAAAATTGGTTGTTTCGGGATAGTATTAAAATGATCAGGGTTTTCACTAGGATTTTCAAAATATGGCAACAGAAATTGTGTACAGTACTACGGTTAAAATATCTGCCTAATTATCATGTGGTATAACGTATATTTATATTGCTTATTAAAATAACACATGATGTTTTTTAAGTATACATCAGCTGTACATATACACTGGCCATATGCAACCTGTAGTTGTACACAATAGACGCTCAGCTTTGTTTGAGAAAATTCTGATGATTCGAACAAGGGTACTGTTGATAGTTAACTGTCATAACTTCATTTACATGATTTTCTATTCAAAATGTCTTTCCAATCAAAAGGATTAGAGCATGATAGTCCAATTTATCAAGTTGTCTTGTTGTTGAAATTTTGTCAACAAAATGAAAAACAAAGGTAAATAACCATAAGTGAAACTAGATCTTTATAAAAGTATGATTAACTAAAAAAATAATGTATGTTATTGGACAACATACCCCACTCGGCAGGTTCTTTACAATTAAACGAGACATTTTCACGACAGAAATATCCGTTTTCACTTTATCCAAGAAACATGGTTCCGGTCATGACTAAACTGAAATAAATTTCGCAATATTATTGTTGTCGTCTCGAATAGGAAATCAAGTCTCAACGTTATAAAAATTTTAAACAAAGAAATATTTGTTAATTTCTATAAAAATTATATTCTATGCCAATTTCAGTCTATGATGGCTTTTAGTTTCGGTGAAATAAAGATTTACAAAGGCAAGTTTAAAACAATTTAAATACTCCGTTGTTTAGAATACGAGTTACCTCCAATTATTTTCTTAACGCCATTTGTAACCAAGACCAAAGTTCGTTTTGTTTTTTATTTATTTAAAAATAAGCGATAGGTCATATATAAAGCTTTTCAGAGGGAAGCAGTGTTGGTTTTACATTTCCAAATTAACCAACATAACAAGAATTTTTTTATTTGTCCTGTCATTTTATGAGTAGGTTGAAAATTATCAGATAAGATGATCTCTTATTTTTTAATTTAAATTTAATTTAAAGCAAATCCCCAAATGACTACATAAATTCCTAGTCTATGGGCTTTTATTTCAGCCTTGACTTCATTTTGTATTGATCATAAAATGCAGGTGATTGGGTGAAATTGCCAGTGTGAAGATACTTTTTTGTTGTTGTAAAATCACAGTTGTTGCAAGAGTTTATACATGTACTTCCCTATTTTGAACTATTTTTCATGTATTTCCCCTGCTACATCAGAGATCTAAGTCTCTGACTACATGTATTTTGTAACTTCCATTTTGTAATGAAAATGGTCAATAAGAACTTAAAGGGAAAAACAAGGTTAGAATAAAAACTTAATTTCAGAAAAAGAATACTATAAATAATAAATCTGCAAATTTTCTGCCGCCAAATAATAATATTACACGAATGATAACAAAATTTCAATCGCTAAATCACCGATTTCTACAAATCAGTAAGCGCGGCCATGTTTGTGTATTGGCCGTGTAAAAACAGGTGCGCGTGATGTCATTTCCCCACATCTTTAGATTCATGATAAATCTAGTTGAATCGTAAGGAAATATTAATATAATGAAGTATTGACCAGACAATTTAATTTTCACAGGAGGTGTAGAGGAGATTTTTTATGGTTCAAAATACGTCACAATATAAAAAAAATAATAATTAAAAATAAAGAAACGTACGGCTAGCTACGAAAGTTCTAGCCGTACGTGAGTCACGAACGACTAGCCGTACGGCACTTTTCAAAATTATATGGAAGTCGAACGTTTATAAAATTGTTGATTTTCATGCTTATCATTTGTTGTTTAATTTGTATGAATTATTTAATCATTTTTGTTAATTCTAAGCACATGGATCGAATAAAAAATGATCGGAGTGGAATAAATAAATAAAAAGAACATTGAAAAAAAAAAAACAAACAAAAAAAAAACGGTGAAATGCAAAAATAATTATATAATTTTAAAAACAGTAGATAAATATCGAACATAAAAGCACAGTCAATCAATTAATTAGCCTTAATTAAAACCTATCTAGGGACTGACAATAGACAAACTTTCCTTGATGGACAAACTTCTATACAGTACCGTCGGTAATTGTCGTAATTATCAAGAGCCTAACAACAATCATTTTCAGTGTTTGTTGTTTTTTTTTTCATATTAAAGGTGTCGAAAATTAAACTTAATGAAACAAAAAAGGATTATTATCAAAATTTTGTAAACTATTTCAATTGGTGTAAATGCAAGCAAAGGCTATTTTTTTTCATCCGAAGACAATTAATACTGTTTCTTGGTTAAAATCCTCGCTTAAAGTCATAAAATAACATATGCATTTTCGACTTCCATACAATTTTAAAAAGTGCCGTACGGCTAGCCAATACAGTGTGTCCTTGCTAGTCGTACGTGACTCACGTACGGCTACGACTAAAACTTTTGGGTAGCCGTACGGGCCACTTCCATTATAAAAACCCTACTAAAACGTGTTCTTAATAGTACATATAATTAAATTTTGGCAGTTTGATTCTGACTTTCACATTTAAAGGTGTGAACATATGTTATAATTGATGTACACATTTCAAAAATATAAGCAACTCTTTTCAAAAGTAAATTGTTAACATGTCTGTCAACGTATGATGCTGCGCATCGTAATCGTAGCCTAATATTAACTGCAGGCAAATCATTTTTATTGGCTGTTCAAAAATCTAATTTGCATAATTTATTCACACAATTGCTGGTTCTTACTACTTAATTATGTCTAATATTGCGCATTGTCCATTTTAATTGTTCCTAATTCCTGTCACACTGTGTACTGACGAATTTTATTGCTCCTTGTATGCCTCTGTGCCGACAGACCTTTTGATCATGCACAATGTTGCCCTGATTGGTTAATCACCCTTGTCATACATTCTTATGACGAAATGGACATCTATTTTTTTACGCTTCATCAGTGAATTGAATGACCTTAGGGGGAATTAGGTTCCACACCGTAGTAAATTACAGCACGTCATAAAATAGAAGCACATTTTTTTTTTCAGTTACCAATAATCATTTTAAATATTAAGTAGATTTGTGATTTTTTGTTTTATTGGATTAAATTTACGGTAGTAGAAATGCGTATCTGTCGGGGAAAGGAATTTGGTAAGTAGATAACTTTAGGGAACTGGATAAAGCCGAGAATATGCGTAATAATAGGGGAAAGGGCAACCTAGCTGTTGCTGTTGGTACCAGCTTTGACTAGGTGCCTAAATTACCTAATGGACAGTTTTGTTTTCATACGATATTAGTCTGGCTGCCGATTTTCCTGCGCCATTCTCATTTTTAGCGTCAATGGCGGAAAAACGCGTCCTCAGCACATTGGATTTAGTTGATTTTTTACCTGAAAAAAAGATACATGACATGATGTACCCTATTTGGACAGCTTGTCTAGCGAAAATTAAATACAAAATAAAAGGATATATCGTCAATTTGAAGAAGTTTCTCATAGTACCCAAATTAAATTTATGGTTTATCTTTGAAAATTAAGCTGTCATTGCTTAAATCATGTGGTGGGATCATCAGCAAGCTTGAATATCAGACAAATGATTATTAATGTCGCAGCGTCTTCAATTAATTAATTAATTAAAGCAATTCAGTTCCATATGATGTTTTCATAAATAATGTATAATGTACGCAATAAAATTAATAAGTTCTTCATCAAGATATATTTCAGTTGTACCAGCGTGTACACCTATACCGGAAGTGGGTATAAGACGTCACAATCTCGGTCTCGTCTGTCTCGCGAGAATGACAGAACGCCAAAATGGCGGCGCCCATGAACTTATTTCTCAAGTAAAAAATAGTGTCTTAAAACACGAATTTCTCTCTTACAGGGTTGATGTCAATAGGAAAAATGTCATGGTTCCTCTTTTTAAATGATGAATATTTATATTAGACAGACATCAATCCATCCATCTCCTATTCCTTTAAATGATTAAATTTCTGTGATAGAGTTTCCTGATATTGTTAAAACATAGTACATAGAAGGGCTTCACTGCATTGCTCGGTCCGGTGTTGTATTATCATTATAAGATTACAATCTAATTATCATCTCGTATCTCATATTATATATGAACTTTGATTTTCTATACAAATTGCTCGTTTATAGTTAAATCTCTAAGATATTTACTTTCACACCCAGATTTCATACTCAAAACCCTTGAATAACAAACTCAGCTTTTTTGTTGATATCACACGCTGTCATGACTATCAGGCAATTCAAAGCAAATGGTATAAAAACACAACAAATTTTTGAATCTAGACAATTGAGGGCTTGTCAGTGATGGGGAAATTTATGTCGTTTTAATTGAATATGTCGCGATAGACAAATATCAACGCGGACAAATCGATATATCAATTTTGATGCAATAGATACAATGAAAAACATTTAAATATGTGTTGTAAATTTAAGGATAATGGTGTTATGTAATTGCTTGTATTTACAATAGACATTACAAATACTACTAACTAACCAAAGTTTTTTTCTGTTATTTTTGTCACTGAACTGTTGAAAACAGACTTTAAAGTTCAAGTTAGCCATGAAAACTTGAAAAAAAGTGTCTTAACTTTAGTAGGCCAATTAGAGTGGTATTTAAAAGTGTGTATTGATATTGTATCAGAGGATGAATATCGATGATATATCAATATTGCGATATTCAATGACAGCCCTACTAGACCGGTGTTAACTTTAACATCAGTGGTCTCAATAATGGGTTCAAATAAAGAATAAAACAAAGAATTGGGACTGAATCTGGTGGTCTTAAAGGTGGATAAGTTGGGTGGTCTTAATTCTGGATCATGTCACCATTGACATAATAGTCTTAATAGCTGGGTGGTCTTAGGTAGGGAGTCTACTGTACAAGTTTCTACATTTCCCAGACTCTGATGAATTTTGGATATTTTAAACAGAATTTCAATCTCCATTTTCAGTAATGCAATAAAGGCACCCATTCCACAATAGGTAGGTATTTTCTGTGTAGTTCAGCAAGGTTTTAAGAAGAGAAAAATAATTTCTCTATTAAATATGCTGCATGAAATCACTGTGAAGATTGTCCAGGTGCTGAAAGATATAGAGGTGTGTCAACTTTATTTCAGGTGAAAATAGATGTGACCATGGGTTTATTTGGAATATCATGGGCCACTATAGTGCTGAGTATAGCTGTAGGCTACATTCTTCTGATGTTTCTACAGTGGTACTTGAAGTTCCGAAGAACTGCAATAGTCCTATGCAAAATACCAGGAGTGAAGACAGAATTCCTCTTTGGGAATTCTAGACAGGTACTTTATAAATTATTTTAAATTATCATACACACATAACTATATACCGGTAATTAATTCTTAACATGCTTATTTGTTAAATGTACTTGTCTAGGTTCTATTTTGGTACTCTCCATTATCTATTTTGGAGATATTGAGAATTAAGCCCGAACAATGTTGGTCATATTACATCTACAGTCTAACCTGTATGAACGGTCACCTCTTTTCGGCAGTCATCAGACCTGAATGGCCATTTTGTGATGTCCCTGACGAAAATTACTCTATTTTATACATATATTCAACAGTCACCTGCTGTTCGCGGTCAACCGTCACCTCAAATGCTTCCCGAATCTAAAACTTAGCCATCTTAAACGGTCAAAGAGGTGAAACGGCCAAACAATCTACTTTTCATTTTTCAGAGATGGCACATTGCACAGATTTCTTAGATAAAGTTCCTAAATACAGATACATACATTATACTTTTAAGTCCCTATTTATTTACTTAAATGTTGGATTTTTCCAGTTTGCTGAAATTTTACAAAATCAACACTAATCTGACTTATTTGCAAGGTTAATTGTTGATGAATTGAATTATGGTACAATGTATTTAGATGCTCATTTGTCATTTATTTTTGAAAAATCTTCAATATGCATTTAGTAAGTGAAATTTGATCTCTTGTGAAAATAATCTAAATTTACAGTGCTTACTACATGTAAAATGTAAAATTTTAAAAACACATTTTCTGAAAGGCAGGATGGGCCATAATTAAATTGAAATCAATTTGTGTCTGTTACCATTGGTTTCATAATAAATTGTAGATGCCAGGACTAAATGAAGCAGCGTTTGAGTGGATGTTTAAGAATGTTACAGAAAGACCACGACTGTCATTGGGCTGGCTGAGTTCCTTTTTACCAATGGTCAATGTAGTACATGCTGACACTGTGAAGGTCATCCTCAAATCCTCAGGTACTGTCAATTGACCATATTCAAACATGGTTCATTTATGACCATTTTAAAACATAGAACCTAAATAAATGACGTTTTGAGAGTTTACTGTATTTAAAAAAAATAAAGCATAAAAATGTGATTATAAGTAAAAATGGATTAATGGGAGTTTGAAAGACTGAGTAATACAACAAAAGTATACATTTTATTTGCTTGAATAACTTTCCTCTGCAATTACACAAGTCACTTAATAATTATGTAATACATAATCTGTTATAGTATGTATAAATAAGGTATTTTATCATGCCATTACTATGACAACTGCCTGATAAAGCCTGTCTGAGAACAGCAACCTTTCTCAGTCAGTGACTTGAGAACACTATGTTCCTACGCCAGATCAGCACTGATGATGTTTATTGTTGGTATTGTATAATTGACTTTGCTGAATATTTATGATAATACACAGTAAATAAATTGTTAAAGCAAATTGTACCAAAAATTGTGTTGTGTTATAAAATTATTGGTAAAAACCCTCGGACTACTTTTTTGGCGTATAACCCTCTTGTGGTTACCGTACTTTCAGAAATTAGCGCCCCGTATTAAAAAAAAATAAGATGCAAAATCATAATAGAGGCATGATAAAAAGAATAACAGGTTACTGTCTTTTGAGAAAGGGATTTCTCAGACTCGGCTAGATATGGTCCGGAAGGGGCTCGGCAAGCCTCGCCCCTTCCAGGACCATATCTAACCTCGTCTGAGAAACCCTTTCTCAAAAGACAGTAACCTGTTATTCTCTATATCTAAAATTAAAAGGTGGAGATAAAAAAAGAAAGTCATACAAACTGTTTTGTCATAATGTTTATCAATATTCAAGCTGCATCAAAAGCAGCATAGTTTGCCAGCTTTTTACAAGATTTTTATTTTTATTGTTTCTTTCTTCAGCACCAAAAAGCCGAAGTCTATACAGTCTAATAATGTCATGGTTGGGAGAAGGTCTGTTGATAAGTAATGGAGAGAAATGGTTTAGAAGCCGTCGGCTGTTAACACCAGCTTTCCATTTTGACATCCTCAAAGCATACCTAGAAGTGAAGAACAGAGCATCTAGCATATTTGTTGTAAGTTCTTTATTCTACATTCAGTATCATTATTTATGTATACATTTTCATACATTACTAAGAACAACTTACATCCTCTTATTTATTGCTTTTTTGTTACATTTTTTCATCTTCTTTGTTTGTTAATTCTTTTGATCTTAGATAACAGTCATAACACATAGCAAGGCGGTATACATATTGGTATATAGCTTCCTCTCCATTTAAATAAAGCTCTCTGGTCTGGTGGTTCAACTTTACCAAATATATTCTTGTATTGTACAGTTAAATGTTAAACAGCCTTTTTTGTTTTTTTTTCAGGATAAGCTACAAGCATATGCAGACAAGGAAGAATATTTTGAAATATTTGAACATGCTTGCATGTTTTCTCTAGATGTTATATTACAGTGTGCATTTTCTTACAAGAGTGATTGCCAAACTGCAAAGTATGTACACATATCTTTTTAATAAATTTATTAAATTTGTCATTAAAACATATTTTTTTACACCTGTCTGACTGTTGGTTTTCTGCTCTAGTTATAGGGTCTATTTGAAATAATATTTAACCTGTTACTCATTGCCGAAATTGTTCTCATTTTAATATCAAGGTTCTCTATCTAATGAAAATAAACTGGCTGACTTCATTTTGTTCTTACTATTAATGATATGATAAAATAACAACTTTATTATCATGATTCAAAACATTTAAACAAAAATATATAAACTAATACATGTTACATTGTCTTCACTTCAGAATGAAGCAACCATATGTCCAGGCAGTGTGGGAATTAAATGATCTTCTTGCAGATAGATTTTTGTGAGTATATAATTAAGAAATATATATAGTGATTTTCAGGTATTTTACTAAATGATGTTGGTAAATAGTGTAATTTAGTGTTAATATGTTCTTTTCATGCTACATAGATGATAAGACTCTGTCCCATATTTTATCAAATGTTATTTTTATTTTGTTGACATGAACTCATGAAACATGTAATTTGTTAACAAATACTTTCCTTATCCTGTATTTTGTTGACAAACAATTTCCTGAAGCTGGTATGTTGTTGATAAATGATTTCCTTAAATTTGTATTTTGTTTATAGATGATATTTTAATCCTGTATTTTGTCGATAAATGATGCAATGCACCCTTTTGTTATCTGTTCCGAAAAAGTCTTGATCAAGTTGCATTTTAACCTGATTAACTAAATACGTTTTAATGTAAAGAAATTAAGAAAAGAAGCCATTGTATTTTTTAGACTGAGGATTTTGTTCTCTTTCAGTAAATTTTGGTTGTATCCAGACTTTATCTATTATCTCACATCAAATGGTAGACGGTGGAAACGTGCCTGTGATCTTGTCCATAAAGTGGCTGAGAACATTATCCAAGAAAGAAAACAAACTCTGGTAATGGAGTCTTTAATGATCATTTAAGTTATGACATTCTTTTTCCTTGATTATGACATGACATCGATTTCACACCAGTTCATTTATCTGATAAGCTCTGTTAAGCAAATATTATTATTATTAATAATTATTTGTCAACGTCAGCCCCATACTGGACCTGTTTACAATGACAGGAAATGCTTTTTAACCAGGTTTACAATTTTGAAAACCCAGGTTTTGATTTTCCAATAATATGAAGTTAAAAGTGCAAAAAGTCTATTAACATTCATTATATGGTTATTGTTGCTAGTCTTCTTCCACAATTTACCTCTACTTAATTAAATGGCTACATTTAAAAACTTAATGCCTCCCAAAAGTTTCAAGGGACTATTGTTTAGGATGCCGGTGTTTTCTTTCCTTATGTCTGCCACTGTTACTATTATTTTTTTTTATCATAGTCCTTTCATTTTTATAACAATATTATAAATAATATTTTATATGTAGGAACCTTACATGAACCTTTTTACTTAAGTACAGTTAAAGGCAGGTAAAACAAAGGTCAAAGTTAGTTAGTCTAAAAATAAATAGAGGATATTTAATGAGTGTCAGTTCAATACTGCATTTATTGAACAAGTTTAAATAAATTATATTATGCAAGCCCCGGGCAAGCATAATACTTTTTAGCTCGACTATTCGATAAGAATAAGTAGAGCTATTGCAGTCACCCGAGCGTCGGCGTCGGCGTCGGCGTCGGCGTAACCACTTATGTTAAAGTTTTTGTAATAGTTCAAATATTTTCAAAGTCCATAGACATATTGCTTTGAAACTTTGCACACTTGTTTACCATCATGACCCCAACCTGTAGACAGGAGGAGGTAACTCTATCAAGCATTTTGACAGAATTATGCCCCCTTTTCGACTTAGAATTTACGTTAAAGTTTTTGTAATAGTTCAAATATTTTCAAAGTCCATTGACATATGGCTTTGAAACTTTGCACACTTGTTCACCATCATAACCCCAACCTGTAGACAAGAGGAGGTAACTCTATCAAGCATTTTGACAGAATTATGCCCCTTTTTCGACTTAGAATTTACGTTAAAGTTTTTGTAATAGTTCAAATATTTTCAAAGTCCATTGACATATGGCTTTGCAACTTTGCACACTTGTTCACCATCATGACCCCAACTTGTAGACAAGAGGAGGTAACTCTATCAAGCATTTTGACAGAATTATGCCCCTTTTTCGACTTAGAATTTACGTTAAAGTTTTTGTAATAGTTCAAATATTTTCAAAGTCCATTGACATATGGCTTTGAAACTTTGCACACTTGTTCAACATCATGACCCCAACCTGTAAACAGGAGGAGGTAACTCTATCAAGCATTTTGACAGAATTATGCCCCTTTTTCGACTTAGAATTTACGTTAAAGTTTTTGTAATAGTTCAAATATTTTCAAAGTCAATTGACATATGGCTTTGAAACTTTGCACACTTGTTCACCATCATGACCCCAACCTGTAAACAGGAGGAGGTAACTGTATCAAGCATTTATTTTACTATCAAGCACTAAGAATAGTCGAGCGTTGCTGTCCTACCGACAGCTCTTGTTTATTCAACAAGTTCAATAACATTGTCTAATATTCTATGTATCACATACCCAAAAATAAAGACCTTTTAAAGTAAAAAATAATCATTTTAAGCTCGGCTATTCCATAAGAATAAGTAGAGCTAGAGCTATTGTAGTCACCCGAGCGTCGTCGTCAGTGTCGGTGTAACCACTTATGTTAAAGTTTTTGTAATACCACAAATATTTTCAAAGTCCATTGACATATGGCTTTATAACTTTGTACACTTGTTCACCATCATGACCCCAACCTGTAGACAGGAGGAGGTAACTGTATCAAGCATTTTGACAGAATTATGCCCCTTTTTTGACTTAGAATTTTCGTTAAAGTCTTTGTAATACCTCAAATATTTTCATAGTCCATTGACATTTAGCTTTGAAACTTTGCACACTTGTTCACCATCATGACCCTAACCCCTAACCTGTAGACAGGAGGAGGTAGCTGTATCAAGCATTTTGACAGAATTATGCCCCTTTTTCGACTTATAATTTACATTTAAGTTTGCATACCACCTCAGATATTTTCATATTCTATTAAATCTGGCTTTGAAACAAGTTGAAATTTTATACTCTTCTTTGAGAGCATAATAAGATTCTCTTCAAGGCCTATAACTGTAACATGGTTTTAAAGAAAAAATTAGCCCCTTTGTTAACAAAGAAAATTTTACATTATCAAGGCTTTTTTACTTTTAAGCACTAAGAATAGTCGAGCGTTGCTGTCCTACTGACAGCTCTTATTTATTGATGCGCCTATAGTGTAGCGCTAACATTTAGTTTGTCTGTACACTATGTTTGTACATGTATAACGCAAATGACGTCACATCAAAACATTTTTACACAGTCACAAAAGTGGCATGGGTATGTGATAAAAGTTTTGTTGCAATGCCTTTGGGCTATGTTCCAATTATTTTTCCAATTTATAATGAAATGTTAGGTATGAATGTTTAAAATTGAATGTTTTACAGATTTCAGATGCCAAGAAAGGTAAAGAAACAAAATGTAAGGATTTCCTAGGTATTCTACTGACAGCTAAAGATGACAATGGTACTGGATTGTCATCTGCAGAAATAAGGAATGAAGTTGATACATTCTTATTTGAAGGTAATGCATTTACAGCATGCACATAAGGTCAAAGGTCAAAGTCAATTTGGCCTGGACCACTTAAAAGCCTATCCAACCAATAATCAGAAAACCCTTTGGCCTTAGATTTTATTTTTATATGTACAGTCTAACTCACAGGCGCTAGTCACATAATCAAATATTTTACATAATCGGTCTATATATGTATATAAAGATCTTTATATACATATATAGACCGATTATGTAAAATATTTGATTATGTGACTAGCGCCTGTGGTCTAACTTGCCCATGAGACCACGTGTATTAAGCGACTTTTGTCTTATGCAGCCTCTTTCATTTTCTCTCTATATCTTTAATGCATTAAGCGACTTTTGCTCAACGCGACCAACGACCGTTAATTAGTCAGCTAATTGAGATCAATCTTTTCATTAAACAACCACTTTTACCTGTCAAGTAATTGTGTTTTTAGAGAACGCCGCCTCGTTATGTCATAAGTGTCAACAATCAAAACACAAAATATAAATGTGTGAAAAACTCTTTTTGCCAAACCGTTTAATGTATGCAAATAAAGGTAAGTATAAGCATGACGTGTATTATCCAATAATATCAATAAAACAATGCAACGCTCCGCCCCTACTCAGATGGTGTATACGCTTAGCTGTTGATATTTAGACTGCATTGAATTGACCTTGATCAGCAATTAAATTACTCGTTACAATCAGATCTAGTTTGTTTATTTCAAATGAAAAGTGCACAACAGAAAAAAGCTTCACTTATCAGGGTTTTCGTATTGGAGACAAGGAAATAAAACGGAGAAGTTTAGAAATTCTGGAAAAATGTCAAACATGTACGTAATGGATCAAAACTGATTTGTCAATAAATATCTGAAAGTTATTTTTATGCCCCCTGGCATATAGTGATTGAACCGTCCGCCCGTCTGTCTGTACGAGGTTAACCTAGAACGAGAATGGCAAGTTGGATTTTTCTTAAGTTCTACATGTACCAATGGCTTCTAAGTTTACACACTTACTAATCAATACAAAGTACATGATCTGGGCAAGTTACATAATTCTGGCTTTCATATTTACCAAGTTATTGCCCTTTTCAGCACTTAGAAAATGAATAATGGTTAACCTAAAACGGCAAGTTGGAAATATCTAAAGTTCTATCTATACTAATGGCTTATAATTTCCACACTTACTTATCAATACAAAGTACATGATATTGCCAAGTTATATAACTGTGTCATCCATATTTCCCAGTTATTTCCCTTTTTTCACTTTGAAAATAGGGCCTTGTCTGGTTAACTTATTTCAGCAAGTTGGATTTATCTTAAATTTCTCCGAATTGCTTAATTTCTTTAATGATATCTTTCATATTTAGTAGGTGGATACCTTTGATGGTCCTCTAATTTTTTGTGGAGTAAGCTGTCTCTAGGGTCAAGGTCAAGGTCACTGGTTTAAAAAATAAATATAAACATTTTTGCTCATACAGCCTTTATATTTTAGTTGATGTCTTAGTTTAATACAAACATGCCAAGGTTGGTCCTTCTTTCTTTGGGTGTAGTAAGGGGTCCTTTGGGTCAAGGTCAATGTTACCAATGTCAAGGTCACCAATGTTAAAAATAGATTTTTACATTTTTACAGGTGTATTGACCTTATTCTATAGACAGATGTTATTTATAATTGATAGAAACATAAACTTTGATGGAGTTAGTGGTCAGTTGGGTCAAGGTCACCAGTGCTAAAAATAGATTTTTACACTTTTGCTCATACAGCCTTTATTTATTGACAGATATATTTTATATTTGGTAGGAAGATAACTTGCATGGTATTCATCCTTTTGATTGGGGTAGGGATCAGTGGGTCAATGTCACTTGTGCTAAAATAGATTTTTACACTTTTGCCCATACATCTTTTATTTATTGACAGATGTATTTTATATTTGGTAGGAAGATAACTTGCATTGTATTCTTCCTTTGGATGGAGTAAGGGGTCAGTTGGGTCAAGTTCATCAGTGCTAAAAATAGATTTTTACACTTTTGCTCATACAGCCTTTATTTATTGACAGATGTATTTCATATTTGGTAGGAAGATAACTTACATGGTATTCTTCTTTTGGATAGAGTTAGGGGTCAGTTTGGTTAAGGTCACCAGTGCTAAAATAGATTTTTACACTTTTGCCCATACAGCCTTTATTTATTGACAGATGTATTTCATATTTGGTAGGAAGATAACTTACATGGTATTCTTCTTTTGGATAGAGTCAGGGGTCAGTTTGGTTAAGGTCACCAGTGTTCAAAATAGGTTTTTACACTTTTGCTCATACAGCCTTTATTTAATGACAGATGTATTTCGTATTTGGTAGGAAGATAACTTGCATGAAGTTGAATATTTTTCAACTTCACAAGTCAGAGCAATGACTTGGCAACTTATATTTTTCACAATTACAAAATGCCATGACTTTGTCAAGCTATATAACTTGTGTTTACAATTTTTTGGTGATTTTTCCGTCCATAACTGAGTGAATGGGTAAACATTTTTTGAAATATTGCTACTGACAAGAATCTGAGCCGTGGCATCTGTGTTTAACAAACACGTTCTTGTTTTACATTAGCATTCATTTAGATTATTGGAGCGTTCTAATTATTAAACATTTATATAGATGAAGTTTAAAAACATTCCCACCGCAAAAGAAAGATGTCATGTATAAATTTTGACTTTTTATCGTGCTTTGTCTTAAGAGACCGTTTCATTAAGGGACTGTTTTGGGTGTTTCCCTTGTGCGGTCGCTTAATACAAGTTTGACTGTATATCACTTATTAATTTAGCGCTTGGCTTTTATAAAAAAAACACGAGTATGTGAATGTGCCACTGTGGCAGCAAGTGAGATTTGGGACACATTTCTAGTTTTGTTTTTAGTTTTTATGCACCATATTTATTGACCAGCTTTTCTAATAAACAATTCCTTCACTGTGCAACTCTTACTATGTTTCTCAATATCATTTGTAAATCTATTGAGGAAACAGTCAAAATCTTAATTGGACTAGAAAACACAAATCTCGAAATCTAAGACAACATGTAAGAGTTTTGTGATTAGCTTTTGACACATATATCAATTTTATGATACTAAAGGGTTGTAGAGGCCTAAAATTTAATCGACTACAGGACTTGGTTTGCAAAACTTGGTCGATCTTTTAAAAAAGGATTTGATTGTTCATGTCAGTTTTCTCCAGTATGGCATTTGTTTTTTAGGGCATGATACCACAACAAGTGGGACGTCTTGGACACTGTATGAAATAGCTAGACATCCAGATGTTCAAGATGCTGTATACAAAGAGATTAGTGAGGTATTAGAGGGGAGAGACAATGACAACATTCTATGGTAAAGAAATATCTATGTTTTTTTATGTGACAAACCTTATCCAGCTAGCATATATTAAGGTTGTTTATTAGTTGGTGCATATGTGTGCCTGAAATGATTAACTAAAAGGCATCTTAGTTGGTGGCTTTGCGACCTCTACACTAGTTGTATGATTTAAAATTCAAAATGGTTTTCTTAAAATAATGTAAAAAATGCCAAAATTGTCATGAAAAATACAGAACTTAGAATATTTATGCATTTTTTCTTTGAATGGGGCAAAGGTTTGATTTGATTTGAACTTGTTGGAAGCAAACAAATATGCTACTGTTAACTTAAAACTTAATTTTATTGAAGATATGTGAAGTGTTATCATCTCATTAGTTGTCACTTAAGACTTATTTTCATCCTGTAGGTTCTGATACTGCAAGCATCCGAGGAATCTTCATGTTAGAAAGCTAACCACCTAGCTTATGGAATTTAAGTGGTTCTACTTTGGTGCCATTTTGTGTCTGAAATAACGCACAGAGGGGCACGTGAGGTCTTCTTTCCCCAGTAAAGCTGGGAAGTCACCATGTGACCTATACTGTGTTGGTGCGATGTAAAGCCCAATCCCAAAAAAATAAAATGAAGACTTAAAGACTAGTTTTCACTTTAGACTTAATTTTACTGATTATCTCTAAATGTCTTTCTTGACTTCATTTGCTGTTATATTAAAGCTTTATTTGACTGCTTGTCACTCTATATTTAGTTTGACTGCTTGTCTTTGAACACTGAATTTCACTTGTTGTCTTTTGACCTGACAGGTTATAATGTAAGATTTAATATGTCGGATTGCCTTATTTAGTTTTTCGATGTTGAAATAGTTTTTGCTTCATGTGTTAATTTAGGGAGGACTTGCCAAAGCTTACATACCTGACACAAGTGATTAAAGAATCATTACGCTTGAATCCACCTGTTACATTTATACAAAGGGTGACGGATGAACCTATGACGTTGGAAGGTTACGACATACCCGTCGGTACAACAGTCAACGTTGTTATTGTAAATGTACTTATCAATCCAACCTTGTGGGAGGATCCCTTGGTAAGTTCTATAATGTATTTATTGCCACCTGCTATGGTTTATAACACTCTATTAGCTCATTGAATAGTGTGATTTTGTTATATGACATACTCGTATTAAATGAAAACCTGAATTGCTGTCATTGTGCACTGGCTTTCTATATTTATATCTGGTCTAATTCAGATGTAGGGTTTACTGACATAAATTAGATAATATAAAAAAGTTGATAACTGATTTACATCTCATATATAAAGATAATTTACAAAATATAATAACTGGTTTATATCTTGAATTTTAAAGCCATATGATCTGTTGTTATATTCACAAAATTATATTATTGTACCCAAAGCAGCTCTCCTTTTTGTTTTTTTTTATTGACAGCAAGTATTTGCCACAAGGAAGTTCATTTGCCTCTATGGTACCATTATCTAAAAATAGTTGAAATACCAATACATTAACTCCCATGCATGCTTGTTAAGCTATTCAATACAAAGAAGATTTATGTGTACTGTTTTACAGAAATTTGACCCAGACAGATTTTCACCTGAACGCAATGATGAAAGGGATCCATTCAGTTTCGTGCCTTTCTCAGCAGGACCTAGAAATTGTATTGGACAAAACTTTGCCATGAATGAAATGAAAACAGTGATTGCCAGAATTGTACACAGGTAAATATCAGAACCAAATGATTAACATATTACATGCATTTCAGTAGCTTAAGCATTTGACATGGAGCATCACTTATTTCATTATAACATGGTGCAGCTAGGATTATACTAAATGACTTACATCTGCATCGAAGAATTATGATTTTATACAGGTTTGAATTGCACATTATACCATTTCACTGCCACCAATAAGATTACATGGTACATTTGTTTTTATTATACCTCAATAAATCCTTCAATGTAAAACTCTCATAGGCTTTTTATGTGTTCTGATTGAATATCACCCTCCCATGATATATTCCCCAGGGAGTATTTCTTATATCAACCTGGAGCACATTACTCTTGCATAACTTCATATTCCCCAAATTTATAAGAAAAAATAACTTGATAGAAATATGGATCACTATCAAATAGATAGAAGTTCTTGTTGAAAAAGCTTCATAACTAGATTTCGTAGTTTAAATTTGATATTTAAAGAATTATACATGTATATTGTGTCTCACTTTTATGTAGAAATGTATAAAATCATTCTTGAAGTGTTTTTGTTAAATTTATTGTTTTGAGTAATATTAAATTGTAAAAATGATGATGTGTATTCTATTTATTTCCTTTACTGTGTATTTTATCAATATTGTAGTAGTAGGTCTTTCAGAATTATAGACTGCGCCTCGGGGTAAAAAACCAGTTCTCGGGTTGACAATATCCTCGATCACCCCGACAGCCATGTCTTATTTATATAATATTTAATATTTCATTTCATTGATTAATTAAATATTTTCAGATTTAAATTGGAACTACATCCTACTCATAAAGTAGAACGACAACTGGCAGCAACCCTAAAATCTAAAGATGGAATTATGATGAAGGCTATCCCAAGAGAGAAGCTTTAAGGGTTAATTTTGTGTAATTTCAAATTTTCTGAAACAAATATGATAAAAGGTTCTATAATGATATTATATATGACCAGCATCCTTGTAAAGGTTTGTTTTTACTTTTTTACTAATTTGCATAAGTTTTATGAATATGAAACACTTGGTAGTAATTATTGTATGAAATATTATATATTGAGATTGTTTGAGACTTTGGACTTTGAAACATACTGTAAAGTCAAAAAATTTTGAAAGTGATTAAATTTCGTGAATTGGAAAAATGAAGATTTTAACACATAAAAAAGTTCACTAAGTAATAACCATATAGATTTATCAAAACTGATTTGAGGAATTAGCGAAAATGTGGCTGGCAAAACTGTTTTTAATGTAGATTTTTCGGATGTTTGGCCTCCAGAAAAAATCTATCTGTTTTAATAGTATGTTTTATGCCAAAAATCTTCAACGTTTATCTCGTACTTAATGGACAGTATTAATTTTAATGAGGGTTTACACTGGCCTTTGCCGATATTGTGTGAAGACTGAAATCAATGGTGCTAAAGGAAATATTCAAAGACAAGTAAATTACTTGTTTTATTTCTAAAAATAAATATTTATTTAATTAGTTTATACAAATGCAACCCCATAATGGACACTCTTGTATTGAAAGAATCACAAATTAAGTTTTGTTTGTTTGTTTATGTTTTTTGCATCTTTCTTTCTTTTTTTTTATGTTTTACATGTTAAGACATTTAGATATTCTATAAAGAATGACATTCATAGATACATAGGAAAATGTATAGTCAGAAAATGTAGTAAAATGATAAGTGTAAGTGATGAGAATGCAATAAAAATCAACAAACTGGAGAAAATGTACTACATAATCTTAGCTACTACTTTCTGTGTTGATTCAATAGAGCATTTTTATTACTGTCTTCCAAGCTTTGATGGAATTTTAGACAATGTAATTGTGAAAAAAGCATGGAAATTGTCAGGAGTGTAAAATATGTCCGTAAATGTCTGTCGGGAGATCGTCATCAGTCATCATGTACTGTAAAGATTTTAAGAGGGTTATCTCATATAGTGTTACAGAAATTAAATGTTATTCATATTATAGTTTGTAATCAGTTGTATACAAGATTTGGTTGTTAATTGTAGCATTTGCTTTAAAAAACAACAAAAAGAAACACTTTTTTGTTTCTAGATAATTTGTTAAATCTGAAAATATTTTTAGTCCCACTTGTAACAAATAAACAAAGAACTGGCAATTCAACATCATACTTAAATATGTTACTGCATATAAGATGAACGAAACCGCTTTGAGATCTATTCATAAATTAAGTAAAAGTGGTTACGTTGCGTTTAATTACTATATAACATAAGGTTGACTAAATCACTATCGACTCTTCATTATCAAGTGAAAGTGGTTACATCAAACAATCGAATCAGCGAGTTTATTTTAACGATGAAAAATGGAATGTCTCCTTTTACCCACTTGCCTTCTTCATTTATGTGCCTACATGTCACGGTATTTGAACGTTCGTTTGTAACTGGGTTGTAACATGTACTCAGATTGTACACGGCTCACTGTGGCAACGAGCTTTTTGTCCATTGTCTGTCTCGTCAAAAACTCTCCCCTTTTCAGGCTTTTGACTTTGTCTTCCTTCTTTTTCAATTTTTTGGATTCTTTGAGATCTTGAGGCCAGTTTTTCCTTCCAACATTGAACAAACCACATATGTATGTGTTATTCTGCAAAAGAGACAGTGCAAGTGGAACGGATGTGTAAAATTTATCAACAAAGATTATATGATTCTGTTGTATATTTCTTCTGTTAAATTTTCGACTACTTTCTGTGTAAGACCAGTCTCCTTTTGCTTCCTCATGTACACTAAAAAGTTTGACGTGTAGCCTGGAACTGCATCAGCAGAAACAAAGAGTTTGAAACCACGCTTGGCTGGTTTATTTGGGGCTCCTACAATACCCCAGTGTTGGCCGTGACACTTGATCATAGCTTCATCAATGGACACCTCTTGGTGCAAATTGTAAAGACGATTGCTGTTTCTGCGCACCTTCTCCAACAAGGGCGAAACTTTATATAGTGGGTCTTTTCGAGCAACTTGTTTTGCTTCCGATGGATCTGTAATACGACATGGGTCACGTTTTGCGTCATTGTAAAATATCAATTTAAACTTCTGTCTGGACATTGTATCTGCGATTCTGGAATTCCTTAACGATGGGTTGGAAGACCAGTAATCATCTATACTTGGTTTGGGGTCTATCGCCATTATCATGCGTATTCCAAAAAAGGCCTTCATAACATCAGTCGTTACTGGTGTAAATACCTTTGCCGTCCAAGCCGGATTAAACTTTTGCCTGTGTGCAGTGTAGATAGGAATATAATCATTTGTTAACTTTACTACTAGTTGAAATATTTCTTCAGGAAAGATTTCATAAAAGACGTTGAGTGGCGAATTTGCCGCAGAGAGTGCTTTACTTGGACCAGGCGTTGGTCCTTAAAAGCTTTATTTTCTATTTTATGCAATCTTGAAAGCCATTGAATACTACTACTTTCTTCTGCATCTTCAATTTCTTCGTCCCTTTCATCTGAAGATTCCCATTCCAATTCACTCTCAAACTCTACGTCACTTTCTAAATTTTCATCACTTTCACTCGCAGAGGACGATGTTTCTTCTAACTGTTCTTTATGTTGATTGTTTGTGGTTTTCTCTGATCTTGAAGGAATTTTTGTCTGATCAGACTGGACTATCATCTCCAAATTCATTCTTGACTTCGTTGTCTGTTGCGGTTGTTGTATAACCATCTGTGTTGTAATTACAAGAAGCCAGTTGATCTTCGTGGTAACCTTTGCAGTGAGTTTCCTTATTAACATATTGTCCGTAAATGTTAACCTTTCACTGCTGCATATGTCATCATCTCCTATATCCGCTGTCTTATTTTGCTCTTCTTGGACAACCTTTGACTGCATCTCTGTGTTGTTATTACTTTCATCACTGTTGTACGCATTGTTATCTTTGGTAGCTTGTGTAAATTGAATTTTGGTAACCATTTCAGTCTGCTCATCATGTAGCAGTTTTATATTGCCCGAAAATATTTAATTATCGCAAACCCCAGTATTGCTAGAAGAAGTTTTTAGTCCCCTACCGGTTTACCGGAGGGGACTTAAGGTTTACCCTCCGTCCGTCTGTCCGTCCGTCTGTCTGTCCGTCTGTCAGTCCGTCCGTCCACAAAACTGGATCCCGCGATAACTTGAAAAGTACTGAAAATATTTTTATGAAACTTGGTATATGGATAGATGGCAGTATGGAGATTATGCACGTCTTTTTCTTTTCTTCCTATGTTGAAAATTCTGGTTGCTATGGCAACAAATAGGCTGAAAATATGGCAAATTTTACACATAAACTGGATCCAGTGATAACGCAAAAAGTACTGGAAATATTTTTATGAAACTTGACATATGGGTAGATGGCAGTCTTGAGATTATGCACGTCTTTTTCTGTTCTTTCTATTTTGAAATATCTGGTTGCTATGGCAACAAATTGGCTGAAAATATGGCAAATTTTACACATAAACTGGATCCAGTGATAACGCAAAAAGTACTGGAAATATCTTTATGAAACTTGACATATGGGTAGATGGTAGTCTTGAGATTATGCACGTCTTTTTCTTTTCTTCCTATGTTGAAAATTCTGGTTTCTATGGCAATACATAGACTGAAAATATGGCAAATTTTACACATAAACTGAATCTAGTGATAACTCAAAAAGTACTGGAAATATTTTTATGAAACTTGACATGTGGGTAAATAGCAGTCTTGAGATTATGCAGGTCTTATCTGTTCTTCCTATTTTGAAAAATATCAGTTGCCTTGGCAACAAATTGGCTTAAAACATGGCAAATATAACAATATTTGTGATTTGTCAAAAAGAGCTGAAAATTTTATGACATTGCATCTTTAATTCAAGAGTTATCTCCTCTTTAAGAATTTTGCTTTTAAAATGTTATATTTTGGTAACAGGGATGTTTCAAATATTAACTTTAGAGTGTCCTTCAGTCTGTCCGTCTGTCTGTCTGTTCATAAAAACTGTTTCCTATGATCACTTTTAAAGATTTTTTTCAACAAATTTACTTAAAATAGAGAAAAATTGAAACATTAGTGAATGGCCAATGGCCCTTCAGAATGTTGATGGGGTTCTAACATGTAGGGGACTTATGGATTGCTTGCAATACTATGATAATTGCTTGTTTCTTTTGGTTTCCTAAATATTTTGGTTTGTTCTTTCTCTACATATTCATCGATTGCAAAGTCATCCCCGTCAAAATGAGCATTGGTGCACGTAGATATTATAGTCTCAGCCTCTGTAACTCTTTCACCTAACTCCTCCAGTGGCGTCTCTGTTAATGTGTTTTTATCTATGTCACATTTATTATTATTTTCGGTAATAGATTTATTATCAGCCTCATTTTCTATTTCATGGAGGGCTTTGTCACTTTCGACTTATTTATCACTTCCCTCCATAACCTTTTTTTGAAGCGCTTTATGGGGCATCTGGTCCATAGATTAAGATTCATCACACTCAAACTGGTAGGCTACCAAAGTTTGTTACATGTTTGTCTTCATAATCAATAAGGTCTTCAGTGAGCTCAGTTGCAACATTTTGGCATTGATATCTTGTTTCACATTCAATTGTAGTATCCGGACAATCTTTGTCCAAACAGTTTTCTGGTATTCTTATTTCGACTGTTAGTGCATCGCTATTAATCACAGATATATCGCCGGGAACTAGATTATCTTCTGTCTGCATGGGATTGCCGGTAAACAGAGAAATTTTTTTTCGATTGACTAATTTCGCCTTTAGCGTCCTGTTCAAAATGTTGCGTCTGCGTTCTCTCTGTAGTTCGCTGAAGACGGACAGTATCACGATTGAGCAAGTCGATGTTCGGTGTCTTAACTTTAGAGGCAGATATGCCAGATGTTGAAGAGGTTTACTTTTTGTTAGCATCTGTTTGGGAATCACTAGATACGGCAAAGTCTTGTGTAACACTTGACAACTATGTATTTTCCATACAGTTAAGTAGGTAACCGTTGTCACTGTCAAATTCGTTCGCTGGGTTGTTTTCATTTAGTAAAATGGGCACAAAATGGTTTGGATCAAACATTGTTCCAGTTCGTTTATCTAAATT